TGCTGCACTGTTAGCTCATCCAGATTGTGAATGTAAGCTAGCTTTAGTCACAGACGCCTCCGATACAGCTATTGGTGCAGTACTTCAACAATTTAAGAATGGTGCATGGGAACCTTTAGCATTCTTTTCCCAGAAACTCAGCCCTTCTCAACAAAAGTACTCACCATATGACCGAGAGCTATTGGCAATTTATGATGCAATAAAATACTTTCGTCATATGCTTGAGGCTAGACATTTTACAGTCTATACTGACCATAAACCGATCAGTTTCGCTTTCCATGAACGGAAAGCCAACTGTTCGCCTAGGCAGTATAGACATTTAGATTATATTTCCCAGTTTACCACTGACATTCGTCATATTTCGGGTAAAAATAATGTTGTGGCTGATACATTATCACGTGTTGATGAGTTGCAAACACCAGTCAGTTTGAAAGCCATAGCTGAAGCACAGGAAACTGATCCTGAATTATCTAATTATCTAGACGAACCAAATTCTTTACGTCTAGAGAAACGAGAATTACCTGGGAGTTGTATCTCATTGTACTGTGATATCAGTACAACAACTCCTAGACCATTTGTTCCTAAAACCCTCAGAAAGGAAGTTTTTGACAGCCTTCATTCTCTGAGCCACCCCGGGTCTAACGCGTCTGCTAAAATGGTAGCTCAACGCTTTGTATGGCCCGGCATCAGAAAGGACTGCAGAGTGTGGGCTAAGTCTTGTCTAGCTTGTCAGCGATCTAAAGTAAGTCGTCACGTGTCTGCTCCGTTGGGCACTTACGACTTACCTCGAGCACGATTTAAGGTAGTGCATATTGACCTTGTCGGTCCCATGCCTCTGTCTCAGGGATATCGGTATTGTCTCACTGCCATCGACCGTTTTAAAAGGTGGCCTGAAGCAATACCGATAACCGATATTTCAGCTGAAACTGTCGCCAAGGCTTTACTTTCAGGCTGGATTTCTAGATTTGGCTGTCCTGAGCAAATTGTTACGGACCGTGGCCGCCAATTTGAATCGGCGCTGTTCGTACAATTATCTCAGATTACAGGGTTCGAACACAAACGAACTACAGCCTACCATCCAGCGTCTAACGGCCTTGTTGAAAGATTCCACAGGCAGCTTAAGACTTCCATCATGTGTCATGCGAATAATACTTGGACGGAATCTCTTCCGTGGGTACTATTGGGCATACGAAGTTCTTTTAAGGAAGACTTACAAGCTTCTTCAGCAGAGCTTACCTATGGAGAACCTTTAAGACTTCCAGGCGAATTTTTCGACCGCCATTTTGAAGGTTCTACAGATGTCACTGATTTTATGGCACGTTTACGTTTATTCGCCAATAAAATCAAACCTGTTGCTGCTTCTCGTCATAGAAGTGACAAAATATTTATTTTCAAAGATCTTGCCACTACCAATTACGTTTTCCTTCGCGAAGACGCATTACGTAGTTCTCTCCAACCAGCATATACAGGACCTTATCTTGTATTGCTCAGAGGTGACAAAACCTTTAAATTGCTAATCAAAGGTAAAGAAGTCACTGTTTCTATAGATAGGTTGAAACCTGCCTACATTTTAAACGATCACACCACACTTAACAACCAAGACACGAACAATCCTGTAGCTAGGACTACTCGTTCTGGACGTCGTGTCCGATTTCCAGATTTCTATCGCCCTTAACCAGGTCTCATGGGGGGGAGTGATGTAGGCTACCAACCTCTTTCAAACCTATATAGTGACAGAAAAATAAATAGTGACGTTCTGGACAATCTTCTTGTCTTAGCAATTTTACGGAACTATATTTTGTATCGCGACTTATTATATCTGGATTTATTTAATGTAAATATTATTAATTATACAATCTCGTACTAAGTCTTTCTTTCTTTCACTCCTTCTGAATTTATATATATAAATATCATCAAGCACTCATCTCTACATTTCTACACGGGTAAAGCCAGTTTTCAATTTTTCTAAATGATTTATTTGAAAAATGTTCAGATAGTGTATTAAATGTTTATCGTAGAAAATATCGTATATATATATATATATATATATATATATATATATTCTTTATTGCACAACAAGAAGTTAATAACAAAGGCGAACTTATCTCTAAAAGAGATTTTTCTTTCTGTCAACCTAACACAATGGCATGGGGGAAAGAGATTGTTAGTAATGGAGACTGAAAATTCCATTGCTAGCAATATACCCAACCAGGTCGACCTCTTCACGGTTCCCCCTGGAAACTATAATGGTTAATTCCTGATGAATTCATCATGATGGGCTAACTGGCCTGTTTTCATTCTCATCGATCACCCTTCACTGGTGCTCCGCCAGCGTATCCCGTTAGCGCGGGCAGAATTACCATTCCATTTTTACCCATCGGAAAAAAAAACACAGTGGTATAGGAAGGAAGGAATATAATGCATATAAATATATTACAAAAAAATGTTGAAACTACTTATATTGTAACATTAAAATTAAAAAAAAAACTCAGTGATAGTTTAATGAGAATTTTATTGAAGGAATAACATTCGCTATTTACTTGGAAATACTGACCACTGATTTATTTAGGTTTTACTTGAGTTTTGAAAGTAGTTTGCTTTAAAATAGTAAACAGTTTACGCAAATGATATTGTTCTAGTTGTCTCATTTTCTTTATTTATATACCTATTACTGGAGACTGCGACCATCATGGTGCAATGGTAAGTACATTGCTTTGCGTAATGATGTATTGCTTGTCCACGATAACATGGCACGCACCTCCAAAATCTAAAGAATAAAAAATGTATGAGTAAAAATATTTATAAGTTTTGGACCGAGGAATATAATACTCTCTGGCCGGACCGCTACAGAAGATATTTCCTCACAAATACAAACTAAGCATCACAACTGTATAATGATCACACATATTGAAGTAAAAATAAACTCAGGTCTTTTACCTTTAAGCAGAAATTATGGAAACAAATATCAAAATAAATATTTCACGATGACATTCCAACTTTAAGCATCACTGATTTCGAAATCGTATATAATCTTTAATACACAAGACATTAACACTAAATAGACGATGACGAAAAACACAAAAAGGTGATAATTTCGCCCTTTGAATAATTTAGTTCATGTATTCTCATATTCCGGGTACATAATTGTTATACTTTAATAAAAAATTTTAGCAATTTATGTATATAATTGTATTACGCTTATATAAAGAAAGCATGTACTGACTGTACTAAACTTGCTGTGCCTAGAAACACAAAATTTTCCTAAAAAACCTCCACACCCACCCAATGAAAAAGATCTCTATCAATATTTCTAGTTTCTTGCGCCTTTCATAACCCTCTTGCATGCACGCCGATTCCACTCTTGACTTCTCCCTCAGATTACAATATATCTAATGTAATTTTTTATATAAAATAATAAAAAAAAAATGTTAAAAAACTAAACTGCTTGTACAGCCATGAGCCGAAAATTTTACGTAAACGATTATTGTTTAAACACAAATAACATTAGATCCGTGACCTGAGTCCGTTATACCCTTTTTTCACATTAACTTAATTGAGACTCCGATTTAATATACAAATTTATTTCAATAAACACGTAAAGAGCTAATAATAATTTCGTATTATATTTACTAAATTTTTCCATTACAGCCTTAGGAAATTCAATACTATAAATACCTTCATTAATATGAACTTCACATAACTACGTTTCGGACGATTTAAAAAAAGTTATGAAGGCAAAATACCTCATTTATGAAGAATAACAACGCGTCAATAAGAAATACCCCAGGTGCTAGAATACATTATGTAATGTTCATGACACTCATGTCTATTCAGGTATTTGTGTCTATGAATTATGACTTCCCATCACGTGGGTGATTAGCTCATTTGCCTTTTATTAAAAAATAAAAAGAAATATAAAACCTACTTACTATTTACTTCTTGACTGGCCATAAAATATTAAAATGTTAGAGACAGGATAAATTAAAAATGTGTATTATTTTCTTATACACTTAAAAAGTTTTCGCCAAACATCTACGAGAAAATTGCGGGAGTTCTTTTTTTTTTAAATTATTTATTCTATTGAAACTTAGATCACTTCCCATATTCACGTTCCAATTTCTAATGCCCCCTTTCTTAATAATAAACAGCTAGAATACATACGACCGCTCCTTCACTCACTCTGTCTTTACTCAAAATCGTAAATCTGAACTACATCAGCGGGAAATGGGAATACTTCTGGTTCTATTTACTCGTATCTATTAGGCCTTATCTTATTGTGTGAGAATTTTCGACAAGCAAACCACGTGCGACGTAACAACCTGTCAAGCAGATTCAACCGCAAAATCACTTTTAGAATAATAAGATTGACCGTCCTCAGAGTAAGCCTGACTTTCTTGCTACGTGATCATAATCTTATTATTGTTGTTAAGCGAACTGTTGTACAAAGATAAATTCTGTACTATTCACAGTAAATCTAAGTACATAACATTTACTTGAAGCTGTTGAAAAAATTTACTGCATTTATCCTCGTCATTATTGATATGTATCAAACTATTACCTCGACATTGAACTATGCTGTCAGTCGTAAATAACCTTTACACTTCCAATAAAGGAAAAATTGTCCAAAAGTCGTTTGCATTGAGTACCCTCTAGCTACTTGCATTTCTACTGAGCATGCTTTCATGATTTTATTTCGATAAATATAAGGCAAAACATAGTAACTAACTTGCTGGATACTTTTGTGATCGCAAATTCAAATAGATTTTGCTTCTAAAAAATACAAATTTTAACATAATTAATAAGAAAACAATACAAAATAAAGTATCTTATCAATTCTAAACATAATTATCCGAAACTATTCATAATTGGCACAAAATTTTAAAAGAATTTAAAAAGCCTTTAACCTAATTTATTTTTTTAACTAGTTTTGTAAAATTGTCACGAAGTTATTATGTTGTATGCATTAGTATTTGTGTATATGAAATTAATAAAACAAAATTGTTTATTGAAAGGATTTGAATTTAATTTAAAAGATAAATATCGTTATCTACTGTAACGATAATATTGAGCTCCATTTCGATCACCACCGTTAGTCGTCCACTCCCATTCGTCAAGATCCTGGTCATCGTTTCTCGACTGAGACCTTCCTACAGAATAATCTCTTTCCTCCCACATCTCTTCACCTGCTTGTTCCTCTTCAATTATCTCCAAATCTTCATCATCATTATTATCTATCTCCTCACCAACTTCGTCTTCTTCCTCTTCTATTATCTCCTCCAAAGCTTCAATCTTTTCTCTTTGTATTTCATATTCAACTTCAACTTCTGGTATTTCTTCCAACATTTCTCGATGAGCGACTAGATGTTGTCTGCTTCTTATTATCGGTAATTCTATTTTTTCTTCACATTTGATCTCAGATATTTCTTCTTTATATTTTTCTTCTGGTTCTTCTACTATTGGTTCTAATTTATCTGAGCTTTCAGATTGGTCGTTCTTACTTTCAGACCAAAAAGAAATTTTTTGCATCGATTGCATAGGAGTAACAAACGTCAATGTTAGAATAACAGATGATAGTATTATGCCTGATATTTCTTGTATGTCAATCTGAAAAGAAATATAAATAAATTTTAAATTACAAAATTAGTTTAATACCAAAATATATCGTAACATAATTCTTCGTATACCAATCGAACGTTAATTGTTTGTTCGTTTCATTAACATATATAATTATCTATTTCTAAATTCTAAGTCAATAATATGAAATTTTCAAGATCGATAATAGACATATAATTAAAATTCGTAATACCATCTTACCACTGATATCAAAGTGAATTCCGATGAAGTTCTGACAGTAGCTGCATTAGTGAGAAAGACGATAAACTGACATAAGTAGAGAGCATACGAAAGACGACTGATCAGGACCAAAGGGCGGCAACATAGGAAACCAACCAAAAAATCTGCAATATAAAATTAATTATTTTATCAATTACTTCATACTATAGATACTATGCATGTGACATCCGCCAGGTAGGTTATCAGCTTGTTTTGCATACAAAAATAATTTTTGTTTAATTTTTGTATGGTCTTATATTGCAAGCCACATGAAAACACTCGAGTCACTTAGAGAACTATGAAATGTAATATGCAGTGCTCTGAGTTTCATTGCGTTGTAGAATTTGAAACTAAACAAAAGAACCGAAGGCATGACTGAGTTTCAGTTTGAAAAGAAGAGTATATGGAAGGACAACATCGACAACAAATTCAGGAAAAACAACTATAGTTGTCAAAATGTTTTTTATGCTTTTCATGTTTATGTATGACGCTTATTACTTTCCATCAAACAGTACATCAACTTGTTTGACATTTTATGCTGCCTAAAAATCAAAATAGAAAATCTAAGATACATGAGATACATCACATAACTCATACAAAAGACTAAAGTATTACATCCACTTTACAGTAAAAATGTTGGCGACAAAATTATGTTTTTACGTTTCCTGTGTCCAAACTCTTAACTGACTTATTACTCTACCGAGATAGAATTAATGTAACAAAAATTCAAAAATACTATTGTGCCAACAACTCACCGCAATTTCCACTATGCACCACGTATATAATCCAAGCAATAGCCAGAGCAGATGCTATTGGAGCCAATGCTGCATATTGAGCTGCAAAGGTCACATTGTAGCGATATTGGGGGTAGCCTGAATCCATGCCAGCCCACAGCACCAAACCCCACAATGTGATGCTAAATAGCCAGCCCAGTGTTAGGAGGAACTAAAAAAATAAAAGATATTTAATTTTTTTTAGAACATATAATTAAAAAGGCTAAATTAAAATCACCAGCATACATTTAAAGTAGTCTTCTACTAGTAAAACTGACAATTCCCCTTAAATTAGGAAAAAAATTTGAACCTTCTATTCTATAGTTTCTTGCAATGCAATTTAATTGAAATTATTAATTAAAACACTCTTTAAATTAAATTAATAACAAATGGAAACATTTGATGAATTAATCAATTTTCGATTGAGACTACTACTGGACATCAGCAGACTGTCTCGTGGTCGGGTCGATTATCCTTTTAATGTAAAAACACCCGAATTAACTTACGAGTATTTTATTTGAGAATACTCGACTAGTTTCGGGACCAACCGGGGCCCTTCTTCATAAGCAACCATGATGATAACGTGAGTATGTCTAAAATACACGTACGTTAATATAATGTGTAGTTACAAAATTTCTAACAACAATGTTATTCTTTTTTTTTTAATTTTTATTCTATTTCTATTGAAATAAACTATAAGACTCTACTCATTTCATATAGAATCAAATTAGCATGAGATACTTAAAATCATTTTTCATTTTTCGACCAATACAATGTTTCTTTGAAAAATATTCAATTAAGTCCTGTACTACACAGTATTAAGTCCTGTACTCAACAATGTAATGGTCTGAGCACTGTTTTAACGACTTTAGATAACACGTTCGATATATCTTGAAATACCACTGTGGCTTGCAAATGGCAAATGCCTCTATTAACTAAGAACTCTAATAACCTTAGTGCCGTGGTTGCAGTGGTAGTAAAACGGAGTTGTTACATTAGTTAGGCAGCCTCGATTTAATAATGAAATCCCGCTATGCGTAAGGAATCTCTCTCATTGTCTTGATAAAAGATAATCTCTTTTGTGTTCACTGCTAATTCAGATTTATATTTTGATAATCTTCAAAGCCTTGCATTTATCTTCTTAAGAGATTTGCAAAATAATGATGCAATGTAGGTAAAGATATACAAGTATTTCACCATTCTGATGGATTGTGTCAAGAATGAGAAACTATGATGGACAGGTAAAATAAATAGTTAAAGTATAGAAGCTATTCAGATCATTTTATTATTTATTAATTGGGAATATGGTCTATTTTAGTTCAAATTTATTTAACAACTAAAATTTGATTTATTAATTCATCATTACCGTGAGGCAGATGTGTTCGCATGGCTGTGTTGCGGTTTTTTTTTTTTATAGGTGATAATGAAATAGTTACCTCACCCACGCTATCGGTATACACCGGCGGGATACCAGTGAAGGATGATAGATGAGGATAAAACAGGTCAGTTAGCCCATCGTGACGAATTCAACGAGAATTGTTCATGATGGTTTCCAGGGGGAACTACGCGGAGGTTGACCTGATAGGGCATATTGCTAGCAATGGGGCTGTCAAACTCCATTGCTAACAATCCCTTAACCCCGCTGTGTTCCGGTTAGAAGGGTGAAGGATGGCAGTGAATTTACAAGGTACAGAGACATAACACCTTAGTCTTCAGGAATGACAACGCATGGGTGGTGTCATGGGCGAAACAGTATACTCTGTTATGTACATGGTACTGCTCATATCTACAGGCGACGGCTACCATTCTTCATCAGGTGGTCCGTCAGCTCGTTTGCCATTCTAAGTTGCAAAAAAAAAAAACAAATTTCCATACATATAGGAAAATATATACCTTTCCATGTGCTGAAGTTTTCTTCAGTGCGAGTCCTAAACTGAGTCCAATTAAATACGGAGTTGAACGATGAAACGTGGAAGTATAACTCAGTCGAGCTGTTCTATATAACTGGCTGACGCTGAAGAGAAACGATAACATAATTAATTTTATATTATTTTAATTAGATAATTCTTGATATCTCTATGTTTAGATAAGAAGACATATTTTTATAAATTACTGGAGGTCCCGTACTATTTTTGTAAGCAGCTGTTCCCTCTGCTTATTTAGTGTAGTTTAACCTCGCCTTCAGACAGTATTGTATTAGCCGTTAACAGTCCACTGCTGAACATAGCCTACCTCATAAAGGGTGTTTTATTTATTTATTTATTTACTTATTCATTAGTACAAATATGTGTACATGGCGGACTTAATGCTAAAAGCATTCTCTCCCAGTCAACCATAGGGAAGTGTCAGAATACTCGAAATTGTTTTGCCAGTAGTTGCCACGCTTGGCAGGTGGGTTAGCAATCGTAGTTTGGCCTTTGGTGATATTTTAAGAGGGACGCTGCTGCCCATCCCTCGACCATAAGCTCCCTTAGTCGCCTCTTACGATATCCGCGGGAAAGGAAGGGGTGGCCTATTCTATGCCGAGACCTACACGGCTATTTTTTTTGTTGATGGATGAAAATGGAATGGTAAACCCGCCCGCGCTAACGGGATGCGCTGGCGGAGCACCAGTGAAGGGTGATCGATGAGAATTAAAACAGGCCAGTTAGCCCATCATGATGAATTCATCAGAAATTAACCATGATAGTTTCCAGGGGGAACGCCGAGGAGGTCGACCTGGTTGGGTATATTGCTAACAATGGGATTCTCAGTCTCCATTACTAACAATCCTCCCCCCCCCCCTACACGGGTATAAGGTATTCAGGTAGTATAATACAGGAAGACTATACCATATAATCGTATATAATACCTATCAGTATATTCAAAAGTGGACAGCTAACGACAGAAACATTGGTTGTAAAATCAAAGATTGCATTGTAGCTAAGATCCCGCTGCTGACTTCTGTGTAAGAATTTTTAAAGAAACATTTAAATAAAAGAAAATAGTAAATATAATACAATACACCCAAATTTACTAATCTTAACTAAGTGTTAAGGTTATCTACTAGTAACCGCAATCTAGAATTACTAGGTGAAAATAGGTAATGGTTTTAATACATGTGGTCATATTGCTGTTTAATAAGTTTTACACTAAATACAAGTTTATTCTTTTCTAAACACGGTAACACATATGATTACCTTTAAAAATAGCCGAGTAAGGGTCGCCAGCATCTAAAAATTTGTTCCATTTGATAATTCTATTGATACAAGTCATTGTTTCTTTTTGATAAAACAAAGACTAAATGGAATCACATTTCTTTTTTTTACACAACAACATAGGATTTTGATAAAAAAAAATGTAATGACCGCAAGTAAAGGTGAGACTGAGAGCAGGCAACCCGGATCATTGTTTTATATTTTAGCTCATGTTTTATTTAATTCAACTTTCATTAAAAAGTCTTGTACCTGCAAAAGTTAGCGACGGAGTCTTTGGCTATTAGCTCTCTTATAATTTGTGCTTTTCATCAAAACATATTGCATATTAAGTACATCACATACATATTAAGGCTTATAATACTTAAATCCATAAAGTTTAAATCAGACAAATATATAGATAACATGGTGTTGGGGAGTGTGATGGATTTCTCTGTTTTTACGGTGACTGTTAAATATTTAATTGTCTTTATAACAATGAATAACATCCGTATATTTTGAAATTTAAAAGAAAATCAGTGACAAGCAAAATAAAAATAAATGGTTGTTAAATAAGAAACGAAAAAATGTTGCCATCTCCAACAGTTGGAAGTACTTTCGATGGGTAATAATTAATTGTTTATATTTCATATAGGGTCTCGCATTTTGTAACTCTATCCTTAATGTTAATTTAACGTCAGTAATGAATACCAAATTTCAATTTCAAGTTAATCAGAGTCCATTTACCGCAGATTGATTTACTAATATTATGTTATCGAGTATAGGCTGTGTAATAAACTACACACGCATCTGTTATATACACATACATTATATATAAATTGTACAGTTCAATTTCATTAGTTACTCGGTGTCAGTCAACAGAATTAAGCTAGGTTAGTGTATCATGGATGTGGGGCAACACTGTTCAATAGAGCTTAATGAAAAGGTAACCAAGTTTTTACTGAAATCATCACAGAAAATATATAAAAAAAAATAGTAACAAATCGATGGATCAATCAATAAATCAATTTGCATATCAGCAGAGTGTATTGTAAGGTCTTAATTGATAAAGGTAACAGTGATTTTGTATCCAATCAATATTAAATTTGGTATACACGTATATATGGAATGGAGACAGAAGCTACTACATCCCGCTTACGCAGACAGCCTGGAGTAAAAGCTAGTTAAAAATAAGGGCATCTCACCTGGCGCCGTGGTAAGCCAACATGGTGAGACGATGATCACGAACCGTGGTGTATCTTGAATATGCCGCTAACAGATGAACGACTGGCAGTAGAATTTTAGAGAGGCCTTCTCTAGATTGGATACCCCATACAACAATCACGCCGAGTATAGTAAGCTGCATGTCTAGTGCTAACTGATGCGTTTGTGGTGCACACTGAAAAAGGTAAATAATTTTTTTTAACCTAACGTGTGACTTTCCAAGAAATGCTTGCAGAAAGAAGACTAAGTATACATCCCATGTTAAGGATCAACCTGTGAGTTAAATAGAAAAGTTATAACTTAAAAATATTATTAAAGATGACGGTGCCATTCCAAAAAAATATTATGTGATTGAGACTGTGGCATTGAACTTGTGACCCTTCCCTATAGTTGACTGGGAGAGAATGCTTTTAGCATTAAGTCCGCCATGTATACATATTTGTACTAATGAATAAATAAATAATAAAAATTCTAAAACGGACGGGCGAGTCGAACCCACAACTTCTACTAATGTTCTTACAACTAGTAAGAGCATTGGCTCTGAACCGCCACTTCACCGGGCTACAACCCAATTTAACTATCGATCATCAATAAAGTTATGCAATTTGAGATAGTAAACAATTCGACGGCCCACCTAATAGAAAATGATAATAGTCTTGCCTATTTATGAACGGTATATTGTCTATGTATGAACGGTGCCATAGATATAAAATACACTAACGCCCATAGCACCCCTCATAAGTTACCATTCCTGAGAACTAAGATGTTAAACATCCATACCGTGTATTTTCATTGCCATTATCTTACCCAACAAATCGAAACAGCAATGCCAATATAGCTACTTGGTTGCAAAAATACGAATGAAACAGGAGGTACCCAAACAGGCGATTATTGTACAATAAGTTATTAATTTAGTTTTTATAAGTAATTACACAATATGCTTAGTACATTCTCCGAGTCTCTTATTAATACTCATTTCTCTCCATATTGTAATATATTAAAACTTTATTGCAAGAAATATTTTAGAATGAAACCGAGCGATATAAACCTCATGTTGAATGCAGACGTCGTCATAAAAGTGAAATAGTTTATCACTTGCAGCTTATACGGACTAAAGGCTTAGCGCAACGCGATATTGCCTCCTCGGTACGGTATATACTACATATATTCAATATCCGTATATCGTTCAGATTCTTTTATACACTATAGAGTTTTTAAATTTATAAAATTAAAGAAATATGTACTATTTTAGACACAATAAAACGATATTATTTATATATCATTTGTTAAAAAATCGTATAAATTTCAATACAGACCTGCTCAGTAGTACTCGCAATAAGGATGGTATATGTCAGTGAAATTACAGAACATATAATACCAGAGGGAGACTTTGTACAAAAGTCGATTGCTTGGGTACCTCTGTCCCATTCGTGTTTCAACCGTGAAGCAGTTGTGTTTGCATGGCTGTGTTTCGGTTTGGAGGGTGGGATATGGCGTGAATTTACTGAGTACGGAGGAATAACACCTGAGTCATCAGGAATGGCAACGCATGGGGGGTATCATGGGCGAAACAGTATACTCTGTTATGTCCATGCCACTGCTCTTGTCTATAGGCGACGGTTACCACTTTCCATCAGGTGGGCCGTCAGCTTGTTTGCCATTCTAAGTTGTATAAAAAAAAACTTTAATCCTTAGGACTGACAATACATGACAAATGAGGGGAAGGGGGGGGGTTGTTAGCAATGCGGACTACCAATCGCATTTCTAACAATATACCCTGCCAGATTTACCTCCCCGTAGTTCTTCTGGAAACCACCGTGCTAAAGACCAGGTGTATTTATTACGATACTAACTGGCCTGCCTTTTCAGGTAGCTGATGGTACTGATACTAAAAAACTTAACACCAAAATCTTCAAACTCACCATATCCTCAAAGCCAAAATAGTTCTGCACGTACAGGAGATTCCACCACCATCCCTGCTGACAGACTTCGGCGTTCTTCGTCACGAGTGTTCCCCACATCGGCCCCTCGGAGATATTATCCCAAATATAGGCATAGAACAGTACCACGGCTAGCAGAGCTGGGGATAGTCTGGAAACATTTTATAAAGAACTAACCTTTTATACATAAAAACTAAAATGTCCTATATACCTATTTTAACTATTAAAGTGTTTTGTCACTGTCTTTCAAATTGAGAAATTAGTGCAAAAGAAAAGAACAAAGCACTCCAATAGATTTATAATAATAATATTTATTTAATCAGACTACATAAGGCCCATTTTGTTAGTTATAAATTGACTTAACCTATGTTAGTAAATGAGCGGTCATGATGCTCTTGCATTGATAACCTGTCCCACCCAATATTTTAGGACGGGACAGTCCATTTTACCGGCAATTTATAAGAGATTAAAGGTTTTTATGAATAACGGAGCTAGACTTTAAGGGATTCTTGCATTTACGAGTAGATATTTCGATAAACGATTGTTACTAGAAGAAATTCTTTATATTTTATTCTATCTTTTTTTTTTTATTATGTACCACAGAAAATTTTATTTGTATTTATTCGTAATATCCATAGTTTCATCTACTAGATTTATCACTTTCCATCAGTTAAGCCATTTATTTTGTTTGTGCTATTATTAAATTATCCTTTTAAACGAGTATTCTTTTTTTTTAAATCACGACTTGTGAACACACTATCCTGAATGAACATCACGCTCCATGAATGCTCTCAACCGCAAAAAAAATCTACTTTATAGTAGATTTTAAAAAAGAAGAGGTTATCCTCTTCTTTTTTTTAAATCTGTTAAAAATCAGTTTAGGCAGTACCTTAAAATATGCTATTAATTTCACGTATGGTATATAGTATAAAAGGCTTATATGATTATTTTTTCAAAATTTTGAATTTACTTTCTACTAGATATTATTAATTTTTTTTAATTTAAATTGATGCAAAATGAGTTATGTTATTAAGGCAACGGACAGATTGAAATTTAGTGATTATTTTCTAAAACATACAAACAATAATATTGTGATGTCCAGCAACTAAGGCTGTCCAATAATTTGAAATATTAAATAACATTGACATTGTTTGGGCCGCAGAATAAATCATTCGAATGCTGGAATCGTAATCCTGACTGTCACGCCGCTTGTCACAGCGATTATGACAGATTTAAAGAGTTGCAACTCTGGGACAAACATCTCGAAAGCTACTTGATTCGACATTACTAATCTTTTACTTATAGTTTAAAATTGATTTAAAATAGTTTTTGTCAATAAGTAAATAAATATGATTTTATTTCTTCTGTCTATTTTTTTTTATATATATATATATATATATATAAAATACATCAAATTATGTGGTACGCGTTAAAAATACTGTATGTTACAATTCATTTATTTGTTATTACTTGACTCTTCAAAGGCGTAACTAACATTCATTAAATTTTACAAAGACGTATTTGGAATGAAAAGGACACCGCCTACATTTTATTATATAACGTTTATCTAGACATCGTTACGCGAACAAATTCACAAATAATAACGCGTGTCGTCTTCACGAAGATGCGAGTTTGCCAATTGAATATCTACAGGCGTTTACATAATTTCTTTGTCCTGTCATTGAAAATATTTGAATTTAGAATATTTTATTTATTATTCTTGTTTTTATAGTATACATAAATTTAACTTCGGAATTGACAGTTTTTTTTCTTTACAAAAATCATCTTCATGGGTTAACATACATATACAGAATACGAATTATTATTATTATTATATCAGCCGTTAACAATTCACTACTGAACATAAATCTCCCTCGTAAGTAGGATTTTACCATTAAAAAATGGGTGAAAATAGAATGGTGACTCCGACGGTGCTATCAGCATACACTGGTGGGGTACCAGTGACAGATGATAGGTGAGGATGAAAGCAGGTCAGTTGACCCATCGTAACCAATTCAAGAAGAATTAACCACGATGGTTTCCAGGGGGGGCGTGTGTTCCACGTAGAGATCGACGTGATAGGGTATGTTGCTAGCAATGGGGCTGTTAGAACCTAATACTAATAATCCCCCTTTTTGCAAGTAGTTGCCACACTTGTTGGGTTATCAACGGAGGTCAAGCTTTGGTGATATTTTAAAAACTCTCCTCTGAACTCTTGACGAATCGAAGAATAAGAATAATAAAATGAAAACAAGAATTATCGAAATTTGTTAAGAATTTGCGATGTAATCATGTAACATAGTTACACAATATATATAATTATATATATAAAGATGAATTGAGAACTTCCTACCTTTGGAATTCGCCTAAAAATTTTGATATTCAATGTAAACAATTTATTTCCTATTCACATTTTGAATGGCATTATGTACTGTTCATAACAAACATATTTTTGTGTCCGAAATAGAATGTAACCCTGTAATGCTATCAACAAAATTATTTACGGAAATACTCTTATACATTATATATAAAAGGGATACAAGCATATTGGACAAATAAATATGAATTGCTGATAACTTTAGTACAATACGTTTCTACGGGGAGGTCGGTATTAATTTCCCTGACCGGAATAATCCTTAATAATATTATATATGTGAAAGTGAGTGTTTGTATGTAAACTGTTAGCGTCTGAAAGGCTTAACCAATTACTATAAAAATTGGTAAATATGGGATATGCTCTGTGAGGTGGAGAAGGTTATAGGCTACTTTTTATCTAGGTCACTGAACGAATCCCGGTCCCGCGAACAAAGTCGCTGGTAAAAACTATATTGACATAATTCATAACCTCCTGAATAGTTATGGACAATATATAGCAATACCTATATATTAGTCCAGTAACAGACATATTATATATCAGTTATCAAACATATAATATCGAAATAAAGAAACCGATTGAAATAAGTATGGATATTCGACTGGTATGAGCGATATAGAAATAATATAATAACCTTTTTTTCCGTCATATCAGCTGATATGATGATTATTATTCTTGATAAAAAATTTACAACTTCATATGTAAAAAAGTATTTCAGTGGCCAATACAGAAGTTAATCTCTGCCACGATTTATGTTTATAGTCCTTCCCATAAACATAGTATCTAAAGTCCTACCTATCTACTTTTTTCTATCGACTTAATGTTTTGAACGATATAAAAATAGTTACAGATGTAAATAGAATTAAAATATGTTTTATTTTTATGTGTATGTTACACTGTTATTTTTTTTTTCTCAATCAGCGAAGTTTTTACTGTATTTATTTCATAATAATTCAGCCATGATTAAACTCTATTTTTTTTTATATACCACTGAGGTGGCAAACAAGCATACGGTCCACCTGGTGGTAAGTGGTGACCGTCGCCTATAGAGACACCATGAACACTACAGTATAAACTAATATTTTACCTAAGGTATCGAGACAGCAGCCTCCTAGGAGCACCAGCACTGGTGAATCGGTGTGCCATCAACACTCCGCTGAGGAGTAAGAAGCAATCCGTGTACATCCAGCCAGCTCGACACCAAGACCAGAGGGGAGAACTTACTGTCTGAAAAGTGATTTAAAAATAACACGTTAATTATAGATAATCTAAGATATCTATTATTTTAGTTACAATGTTTACATATTGTTTCAATAATATGTTAAAAGTCTGTTATCCAAAAAATAATGTTGGGAAACAAAATTTTATATATTCGAAAGTAGATATCCGACCTATATGGGCGATATCGAAATGGGTGATGACCTTTATTCCGCTATCAATATCTAGAGGAAACCCAATATACGGATATTGATCGATCTCCATATTACCCATGCCTAATAAGTACAGACATTGTCTAGTTATAATTTTATTATATTAGGAAAATTAAAGAAAAATTAAGTATTTTAAAAATAAGTTAAATTTAATTATGAAATATTCTTGTAATTGTTTTCTTTCAACTCTAAAATAATACTTATCTTTATATTTTTAAAGTTCATTAAATTCATTTTAATCTCAGATAACATAATTTTTTAATTAAACTAAACCATCTAGCATAGAAAAAAATATAATTATAAACTTTGATAGGTTAAAAAGAGAAAAAAAAATTACCTAGCATCAAGCCCACGTCACTTTGAACAAAACAACCAATCAAGTGCGAGTTGAACTCCTACGCTGAGGGTTCCGTACATTAAGGATTTTTATTTTATAAGATAAAATCCCTCTACAAAAACCGGCCCCGAAGTTTCGTTTCGATTTCATGGTAAACTTTAAGATCATTAAAGTCCCTCTATAGTCCACTGCTGAAATTAGATCTCCCTCATATTTCCCACTACAGATTATTATCTGGACTCTATGGAACACATTCGATATTGTTAATACATTTTCGCACCAAGTGTCAAAATACACGTATTCGATTATTCTGACATTTAAGTTGGAAAGAATGCTTTTAGCATTAAGTCCGCCATGTACACTATATGTATAACGCATATATGTATTAATAAGTACATAAATAAATACAAAACACAAACAAACTCTAACATTAATCCGTTAACTATTTCATTAGTTAACCTTGTCTACAACCATAGTTGAATATTAAAGACATGAGTCACTTGAGCAGCGCACGCGCACGTTTCGCCATACCCGAGGTACTGGCAACGAGCCAACGTAGCGCTACCCCCGAGTTAAAACATAATTCTTTTAAAAAAAAATAATTATTTGTTTAAAACACATTTATTAATTTATATTAATAATCTAAAATTATTATTAGCAAAAAAAACAATATCTACAATCACAAAATATAAACCGAAACTGAAAATAGTGTTTTTTATGCAACTTAGAATGGCAAACAAGCTGACAGCCCACCTGATGGAAAGTGGTAACCGTCACCTATAGACATGAGCAGTACCATGGACATAACAGAGTATACTGTTTCGCCCATGATACCCTCCATGTGTTGCCAGTCCTGAGGACTTAGGTGTTATTCCTCTGTGCCCTATTAATTTACTGCCATATCCCACCATTCAAACCAAAACGCATCCATGCAAACACAACTGCTTCACGGTAAAAACACGAATTCAATCTTGACAGAATTTTAATATCTAAGTAAAACCTAACGATGGAATTATTTAGCTAACGCGTAACCTTAAACACTTAAAAAAATAATCGAAATGACAAGAGCCTCTTTATCTCTAAAGTCAGTTGAAAATAAAACAACCATATAACGTTTAAAGGAACAAATTTTTTTTATTTTTGTTAAGTATAATGTTCATAAATAGATCCTGTTTATAAGAATTTTACGTAATATATCCAAGAAAAATATTCAAGTACACTCATGCAGGTGGCTCAGGGCCGTTCCTTATGGTGGTCTATGGTGGAGCCCTATGTTCAGCAGTGGACAGATGGCTGAGATGGTAATGATGATGACACTCATGGCTTATAAAATTGGCCATACTTTTTTTATTCGAGACAGTCTTACTTTTACGTACTCGTAAATATACGAAATTTTTGTACTTATGTAAATGATCTTTGTGGATTTACGCAATAAATCTAAAATTATTTGACAGTAAAACTATCTTATCGTTTATCAATAAATTACATTGGTGAACCTTGAGTCTTAGTTAAACAATAAATTAATTATGAATGTCTAGACGGACTAGCGAAAGTAATAAATTCAATGGTGCCTAGTGAAAGTAAATTACTTACCAAACGAATTAATTATATATTTCCAAATAAAATTAGCGGTTAATACATCCCTAGCTGGACTGTAGGTATAACCTTTATAGAAAAATCTGTAAAAAAAGTTACTAAAGAAAATCTCAATATTTTTTAATACATTTTTAGGGTTCCCTACCTTAAAAGGAAAATTGATCTCTTATAAGATCACATCGTTGTTCGTCTACCTGTATGCCTGTCAAGATATTTTTCTCAAGAATACTTGGATGAATCAAACTAAAATTTATAATATGTTATTGAAATTTGAACATCAAAATCAAAACATGAAATTATTTCTAATTCATTGTGACAGATTAAGTAATATTAGTTACAAATAAAAAAAAACTATTCAATTATTTCCATTTCCGACATCAAGTATAATTGTTATAGCCACATTTCAAATATTTTTAAAAAATTAACACACACCCACTCACACGCACACACACGCACACACACACACACACACACATACGCGCGCACACACACACGCACACACACACACACACGCACACACGCGCGCGCGCGCGTTCACACGCACGCACACGCACACACACATTTTCACACTCTCATAAACGATCTTATTAAGTGATTTGCAGTAAAAAAAAATAAGACAAACCTCAGCAATCTTCACTCTGTTCGTGTACGGCATAACAGCGACAGGCAGGAACTTGTGGGCGAGTAGCAACGCCAGTGTCGCCAGGCCCCTGATGCCGTGGATGCAAGAAATCTCATCCGTGCTCCCAGGTGCGACAAGCTTCTCAATAGTGCGGTATAACGAAAACGCACTCACGAAACCATCTGAGAATAATAAAAAAATGAAAAAAAATATGTACGGAACTATAATCCCTGTTGGGGTTTATTTTCCTAAGGAATACCGTTTCGCTAAATGTTGGGAGCAAATTACACTTCACTAATGACTAATGATACCAAATGGGGGGAAAGAGATTGTTAGTAATGGAAACTGAGACTCCTATTGCTAGCAATATACCAATAATATAACCAGGTCGACCTCCTCGCGGTTCCCCCTGGAAACTATCATGGTTAATTCCTGATTAATTCATCATGATGGTCTAACTGGCCTGTTTTCATTTTCATCTATCACCCTTCACTGGTGCTCCGCCAGCGTAGCCCACTAGCGCCAGTGAGATTACCATTCCATTTTCACCCATAAAAAAAAAATGATACCAAATGTAATGGTAAATTTGCAATTTATTTTTTTGGTTTAATCTCAAGTATTTCTGTTTTCATGTATGTTATAAAAATTATAATTTTTATATATGATATGTGGAATGATATGTGAAATATTGATAACCTTCAACAACATAAATAAAGAAATTTAACCCCTGTTGGTGAAATTGTCACGATGGGCTAACTAACCTGCTCCATCCTCACCTATCACCTATCACTGGTGCCCCGCCAGTATATAACGACAGTGCAGGCGGAGTTACCACTACATTATCATCCCTTAATTTTTTTTATGCAACTTAAAATGGCAAGCAATCTGACGGCCCACCTGATAGAAAGTGGTAACCGTCGCCTATAAACATGAACAGTACCATGGGCATAACAGAGTATACTGTTACACCCATGCGATGTTATTCCTCTGTACCCTGTAAATTCACTGCCATATCCCATCCATCAAACCGAAACACAGTCATGCAAACAGAACTGCTTCACGGTAGAAACATGAATGAGACAGAGGTACCCAAGCAAACAACTTTTATACAAAGACTCCCTATGGTAAAATATACACATTATTGGTCTTTTTCATTAGGGAGTTTATGCCCATAAGTCGTCAAGCTGGACAAGAGCTGACCAATTAATCCTTTTTGATAGTCTGTATAACATATATACATTCATTATTATCATCTATATGTTTAATAATGAACAGCAAATGGCTTATTAAGTTATAAACTTTATACTACAAATGGCAAATAAAACAATTTTTTTACTATAATAGTATTACCACAGACGTCAATATCATACTTCACTTGATAATAAGCCGTTATCGCATAATGGACGTTATAAACCCATTTAGCTAAATTAATATTGATGCCGCGTTGTGGCCAGTTATATATTATTATTTCTTTCTAAGATAGAAAAAAAATATAAAATAAATATACTAAGGAGAGTAAATATACTTCGCTAGTTATCCCCATCATCCAACTTTTCTTAACTTTACGCACGGAACATACCTAACGTTCTAAGCTCCGACATTGCTAATACATATTTAATAGGCGTTTCCAAATTGCTACTGAATCATTGATATGTTTCGATTGACTTATTTAACCTACATTATATTATTACTAACGATTTCCCACAGCTATATTTATGTACCATTATTTTTATTATCCCATATGGATGGGATATCATCTGCCTTATATTCCCGTTATTGATATACCCTTGTCCCAAAAAGATTTAAACATACATGGTCCCCTAAAGAACTTTTTGTATTTTTCAAAAATTTTTGTTGCAGTAGTTTCAGATATAAAGGATGGGAGGATGCTCAATTTTTGCCTATTTTCTTATATAATTTCAATACGAATACTATTTCATTTAATATTAAATACAAAAAAAAAATTTGAAATTCTCGCAAGAAGCTCTTTTATTTGATATGTCACACGATACAGTTTGCGTTTTGTTTTCTAATTTACCTACCCAAAATGGCCTGCCTTATTTAATATTCATACACATATTTACGGTACACGACCGTTTTTGGGTCAACGACTTACATAATATGTGTAACAAATTTCAATTCAATCGATTCAGCAGTTTCAGAGCAAATTGGCTGTAAGTGTTCCGTTTTTTTTTTCCTATTGCAATGTGAAATTATTATTGCAGTAGAGATTACCCTGCAAGGGACATGGCATGAAGATACATATATAGATATAATATTAATGAAAATAAGGTAAAAAGTAGCCAAAGAAAGTGTGTATAAAACTTAGTAACTTGTCAAACCCTTTTGATAAATTAGCGTGCACTTAGTAATTCTCGCAAATTAACAAATTTTAAGTAAATAAATTATAATAAATTAAATATGAAACACAGATGTCTTATTATTTTAATAATATTTTACTTAATGTGTATTGTTAAAACAGTTGAATTCTGTATTTATTTGTGAGAAATATTAATCTCTCTTTGTCTGGTGAAATCTATATGCACCTAGTTATTAAGTATTAAAAAAAGTTTATTATTTGTATAATTAAAAAAAATATTATACTGTTTGGTGACAAATTTCAGTCATCTTTATTCAAATAAACTTGTTTATAAGCACTTTTAAATCGTCATTTTTTTATGAATCCGAAAGGTTGTTATCTGTGAGTAGAGCCCACAAGAAACTCAACAGTTACTCTTTTAAATGTCTGTTAACATTATGTGTATTTATTTAAATGTACTATGTCTAAAATTCGTTAAAATCCCATACATGATCGACTAACAGCATGCACATTTATCATTCAAATAATCGTTTAGTATGTAATAGGGTTTATTCAATAAATGTTTTTAATAACAGTTTTTAACTTAATAAAAAGTAGATCCAAAATATCCTTTGGTATCTTATTATAACTTTTAATGCCGATTCTTATAAAAGACCTATAAACTTTTTATAAACAAACAGTACAAGCTTTGTTTAAATTGGAACAAGCATGATGAGGTGATATATTCAGGCTCATTTATTATTCAAATGGGAAGTCGATAGAAAATTAAAATATTCACTTGAAACTAATTAGTAATTCAAATACGCTATCATATTTAGCAAATTTATTTACAAATTAATATAAAAAAAATCATATACCTAATTGCCTTTTTCTCAACAAGAGAAATCAGAAATAATGACAATTTTCCCGCTTCCTACACCTACCCGGTCCATTTTTTTGGGATTAAGAATTATCCTGTGCCTCAAGTTAAAGAAAATAATAAATATTTACAAAATTTCTTTCAAATCAGTTGAGCGATTTCGGAGATTAACGTAAAAGATGGGGATATTTTTGTATATTGAAATTACAATAAAAAATAGAACAATACCTTTGACTAGTACAGTTTTTGGAAAAAAAAATATATAAAATTCTTAATTTAAACGCAGTTTTGGTCAAAACTAATTACATTCTATTTACATTAATACCTAACATATTTATATACATATATTATCTTATACGATAATTAAAGTCATTAACGTCTGTATTAAATACTCTTTTATGATGATTGATATTAATCTTGTTATCTATAAAACAGTAACTTTTTTAATTAACATTTGAAATTTTGTACACGATTCGATTTCTACCATTTAAAAAAAACATTTTAGTCTTTTAAACTGTTCTCACTAGACGTGTTTTGCAACATTTTATCTAACACAAAATCAAATCGTCATCAAATCGACTGTTTCTTATACTATGATAAAATGCACATTTATATTATCTGTACGGAACCCTCAATGTTAAAGTCCAACTCGCTTTCGATCTTTTTAATAATAGATTGAAATGTCACCGTAAAACTTTGAACAATGAAGATGACAATATTACATTTATAAAAAAGGTACACGTAGCAGATTGGCCATGATGCATTATTTAATACATTGTAGTAATTACACAATTGAATTACAATTAGAATCTGTTTGAATATAAAACAATCGCCAACCGTGACCTAAGGGACATAATTATACCAAGTTGTCGAAATCAGAAACAATTGGCGACAGGACCGTGAACTGTGGAGATGGATACAAAATAAAATCATTTATTTCGACACAAACCAACAACAGGACAGACAGGTGTCCCTGAGTTGTTTGATTTAATCAGTATCGATATCTTAGTTCTGTTGAATCGTGGCTCCGTTTGAATTTAATTTTCTATTGTTTACAGGACAGAAGAGTCGTTACAATAAAATGTTTGTTTATAAATAATTATTATTATAGTTTCATTCAACTAGGTGTTATCTTGCCGAAGTCAATATTACTGAAACACGTGTCGCAAAACGTGCGTGAACAAAATGGCAGTCGGAGATTTCTGGTAGTAATAGTGGTGGTCAATTGTATTGATAGTAATGGTAGCAGAATTCAGCAAAATTATTCTAATCAAATAACCAGTTGTGTTTGCATGACTGTGTTTCGGTTTGAAAGGTGGGATATGGCAATAAATTTACAGGGTACAGAAGAATAACACCTGTGTCCTCAGGAATGGCAACGCATACCCCCCATGCGTCATCATAGACGAAACAGTATACTCTGTTATGTCCATGGTACTGCTCATGTCTATAGGTGACGGTTACCACTTTCCATCAGGTGAGCTGTCAGCTTGTTTGCTATTAATATTAGTATATAGTATCTACCGTCATCTATTGACAATGGTATACCGTATTTTTATATAAATAGTACCTATTTGGTTTCTATCAATCTCGTATAACATAAAAATTCTTATCGCTATTCTTCGAAACCGCTTGACAGATTCTAATGAAATTTTGCAAATGTATAGATATAGTTTGTTCCAACTTGGAAGATTTTTATTTCCTTATGTATTTATTTTGATAAGAAAAAATAGACGCGACAGATGGCGGTGGAAGGCAAAACAACATTTGCCTTCTACCGCCATCTGCCGCGACAGACCAACATGTACATAAACATATAAATTTCAATTCTGCACCTTTACTGAATTAGCAGATAGACCACTAGAAAAAGACTTTGTACAAAAATAGTCTCTATTACTATATCCCACTTGTGTTTTTGTCGCAAAGTAACTGTGTTTTAATATAATGAGAGGGATAATAGTTCTGTAAAACCTTAGTCTTCAGAAATGACAATACATTAAGGGTACCACAGTATATTCTGTGATTTTCTTTGTACTGTTTATGTCTGTAGTCGACGTTTACAACATACCGTCAGATATGCCGACAGCTTATCTATCATTCCAAAACGCATAAAAGAACACGCTCACAAAAATATTTATTAAAAACAAAACATCTATCGGATTTTCTAGTAAGTCATATATTCATAAAAACAGGATAAGTGCATTAACCTGGCTTGAAATAATATAGACTTATATTATGATGTGTTCATATTATAAGCTTATGCACGTGATGCTAAGAACCTGTGATGTCTAGACAATATTAATTTTACACGTACATACGTAAATAACTAATTACCTGGTCGTTTACTTGCTTCTGCGTCTTTCTCTTTCTCATCGTCTTTCGTCTCTTTCATCTCGGTCGAATCCTCGGTATTTTCAACTTCTTCCGATTGTCTACTGGCTAAATAATCTTGAACTGTCGCCACCAATACAAGTAGAATGACAACTGCATAGAACGCTCTAGAAAAAAAAATATTTATTGTAAAATCATTGCCTTTTTTTCATCAGCAGTCAGGTAAAAATGGATCAGGATTATAAGAGTCATTTTAACACTTATTATTTCGTATTAGACAAACAGACCAGTCTAGCTTTATCTTTTCATCGCATAAACAACAGAATGAAACAGACGTAACACATGGAAATCCTTACAATAACACATTTTCTGGGGAAAAGGATTGTTTTTGTTTGATTGTTAGGAATTATATTGAGAAATAAATAGCTAGCAATATATCCTGTTGATCTGTGGTAAATTTCTGGTGAATTCATCACAATGGACCAACTGGCTTTACATCATCCTCATATATCACGTCTCACTGGAAACAGCGTAAACCAATATCTGAGGCGGAATCAATTACCCTTTCATTTTCATCTATTCTTTCATCTATAGAACATTTTTAATTCAGAACTCTAAGCACTAATCTAATTATAATTGTCGGAGCTGAATCCCTAGACTTTTCTCCGCCGAGCATATTGAAATTCAACATGACATAGGGCATTGCTCCACCATCTAATAGATTAATTAGGTTCCTTTGTTAAAATGTTTACCATTTCTGAACAGTTGTTTAGAAATTTAAATTAACGAGATAAGTGTTTTTAAGACGACTAAATATAGCATTACATCAAACTCATTGTCATGCCCGGCTCGCAAGACACAATTTAACTAAGCTCTATATATATATATATATATAAATTTAAGAGAAATTATCCCGAAATAAAACTATATTACGCCACCTAATCAGCGAAGATCATCATCAGCATATCAGCCATTAACTGTCCATTGTTGAACATAAGCATCCCCCGTTATGAGATTTTGCTAGCAGGTTCCAAACTTGGTAGACAACCCGCCTACCAAGCTTGGTACCTGCTAGCAAAATCTTTGGTTTGGCAACTGCAGTCTTTAATAATGTTTCAAAATGGACGCTACTGCCCTTCCCTTAACCATAACATTCTTTGTCGCTTCTTATGATAGACACAGGAAAGAAAGACTTTCTACCAGAGGAAGACTGTACAAAAGTCAATTGCTTGGATACCTCTGTCCCATTCGTGTTTCTACCGTGAAGCAGTTGTGTTTGCATGACTGTGTTTCGGTTTGAAGGGTGGAATATGGCATAAATTTACAGGGTACAGAGGAATAACATCTGAGTCCTCAGGAAAGGCAACGCATGTTCATGGGGTATCATGGGCGAAACAGTATACTCTGTTATGTCCATGGTACTGATCATGTCTATAGGCGACGTTTACCACTTTCCATCAGGTGGACCGTCAGCTTGTTTGCCATTCTAAGTTGTATAAAAAAAAAGGAAAGGATAGCCCATTCTATACAGGAACCATACGGCAAAACCAACGACGATAATACCTTACAATTAGGCTATAGTCTTTCTTTTATAATTGAAGTCTCATACAATAACAATGGAACTTGTATTTACTTACAGTGTTAAAAGTGTTGGCAGCTGCATCCAATCTTCCCACCAGTCATTTCCTGATGTCGTTTGACAGTCTCTGCTGTCCACTTTAACGCGTATGACCAACCCACTAATATGCTGATAATGCATAAGAGCATCTTTGACCACCACCTCGACATCTTGAGGATTGCAGGCAGAAGGCAGACAGATGCCCCAACTTAGCGTTGAAAAACGCGGCACGAAGTGACCTGGCTGAACAAATCATGATACTGCTTAATATATTATTTAATTTAGTAGTTTTAATATCATTGTCTAATGGTAATTGGTTACCGTAGCATATAAACAATTGAGGATATAAAAATATTGAATTACAGTTGCCCGTAATTTCACTATTACAAGTGTGCACCTTTGACATCTTGTAACATTACGTTCCGATGAAAAAGATTATCGTGAAATCTATATTATGAAGCTAAACATATATAAAAAAAATACTGTCTTACCTCTCTCCTATTTATTAACTATAGCTTATACGACATTGTCCCAAGCGACTTCATTACTACCTAAATACCCATATATCAAGTGAACCTCAACGCAGAGACCCCCAAAAACCATTGTGATTAATTGTTGGTGAATTTTTCACGATTACTGATCTAATTTCATCATGACTCACCATTCTTCACTGGTACCTCGCCAACATAAACCAATAAAGCAGACGAAGTTACCATTGCATTTTCATCCAACCAAAACAAAACATAGACCAGCCAGCTTGCTATAGAATTTTAATGAGGACCAATGGTAGGTAATATGTTGATCCCTAAGGTTGACCCTTAGTCCGTATGATGGCATACGAAGAAGTTATTATATTTACAATATATATATGTACGTATAGTAGAAATATAATATACTGACTACATTGATAATATTCATTAAAAAAGAAATTGGGACGATTTATATTATATGTATATTCTTTATTGCACTTAAACAATACATGCGACGATTAGTTTAACAACTTGTTAGCAAGGGAGGGCTTATCTCTGAAAGAGATCTCTTCCAGCCAACCCAGTGTAGTTAGAGAGAAAATAATTTAATTTGGGTAATCCAGTGCAGGAAAGGTACCGGTAAAAATAATGTAAATACAACAAACACAAATTGTGAATAAATAAATAAATAAATACGTTAATAAGTAATTAGATAAATATATATACATATGTATAAGTACGTAGAATTATCATGTACTATTGCTTAAAAGGTGGGATTTCAGTCTTCTCTTGAAGGAAGTAATAGAAGGACTATCCCGTATGTCAGCAGGTAGCCTGTTCCAGTTGCGCAGCACGAAATGTGAAAGAGTTTCCAAAAAAATGGGTCTTACAAGAAGGGAGTTCTAAAACTTTGGACTGGAACAGGCAAGCACGTATTCCGTAATTATCTAATTACGGAATAAATACCGAAGATATTTATCCATTTTCCCATATTCCCATGATATTTTTTACGCATAATTAACTTACTGAAGACATTTATTGATGAAAAATGAACTCACATCATCTATCCTGCTTTTGAACAGGTTCTTGGCCTGTGCCAGATGTACAGGTAGCTCCAGGTCTGATCGTTCAGCTTTCAGGTCCAGTCGAGCCAAGCAATACTGTCCTTGGACTTTAACAATGCTCCCAGTCTCCAACTGGACTCGGGCGCGGCTTCCCAGACACTGGTCGAAGTCGCCCAGTTGGATTCCATTACCTTGGAGTAACCCCGAGGGAATCTTCGCTGTTGCGTCGAGCACTATAATAAAAATACCAGTGCTATGTAAGTATGACAATCCGCCGGGAATGGTAGGCACGCAAACGTTTCGGAGGTGTGGCTGACTTTTGTACTATAGGTAGACAAAAAGTTTGTTTGCATCTAAAGCACGCACATTAAATTACATTTTAAATACAGTCAACAGTAATCTTTACAAATAAATTTTGGGGCATACAAAAGAGCAAACAAAATATAGCTTATAAATATATGTGCAGCAATGCAAAAAGGCTCAAAGCTCAGTGTGAGATTAACACAAGAACACTGCTATTAGGTTGATAGAAAAATTTAAATTAAAATCAATTTAATAAAATAAATAAGAATCTCTATGTAATTGTAATCCGAGCGTTAATTGTAAACAATTTAAATGTAATATATTTATATTTTTACAAAACTGGGGCGCAAGCCGCCGTAATCTACCATTAGGCGTACTGTTTTCTTTAATGTTTATCACTAATCGTTAATTGAGTTATATTTCAAATTATTTAAATAAAAAAACCTCTAATACAGTATATTAATGTAGATAGACACCTAACCAATTATGAAATTCGTTTTCAATTAATTTATGAACAATATTAAACGCGCGAAATGCAAATTCTATTAATTAAATTTAAATTTAGAAACAACTTTTTTTTATTTTATTAATCATCGAATTTTTTGTTTTAGTGCACCGTTAGTAGGCTGTTTATATGGATGAATAAAGATAGCTGAATAAGCTGCATTCCTTTAACATTTTTTTTATAAAAACATATACAAGAAAAAATGCGAGTTTTACTTACATACCGAAGTTTCCTTAAATAAAATACTTTGTACTTTACTGTGAACGTTATCTTACATGAAGTGTAATGATTTTTGCCATTTCGATAATAAATTGTCGATATATACTTAAGACCGTAAATAAAAATTATTATGATTAAAAAAAACAATCCACATAACTAAATTAGTTTTTATTGCGTTTTTTTTTTTATTTTTCAAAAATTATATTCTTTCTCAACCCACATTTGACCAGTTAAATTTTTTATTTACTTAAAAAAACTTTCTGGAGTGTTTCCGGAGAAGAGCCTGCACTTTCCAAATATATACACCTGCTTGTTGTAGGTACTGCCTACAGGTAGTATAAATGATAAAAACAGATGTATAGAAATTTTATAAATCAGCCTCATATCAGCCGGTAACTGTCCACTGCTGAACACAGAGCTCCCCCATAAACGAGGTTTTGCCAGTAATTGCCACGCTTGATAGGCGAGTTGGCAATCCCAGTTAGGCTTTTGGCTTTTGTTTTAAGAAGGAAGCTGCTGTCCATCGCACGACCATTAATTCCTTAGTCGCCTCTTACGACACCCGCGAGAAAGGAAGGGTAGCTCATTCTATGTCGGCATCACACGGTAAAAGTTTTATAAATAGTTTCATACAAAAGGTATTTTACAAAATGTATATACATTTTATCAGATACCTTTATAGAAAAATAGCAGTTTTTATAAATATTCACTGCGTGAAAGACAAAATTAAATACAGCGTAGCCAACGTCATGCCTTGTGGGTAATACCGACGTGCCAACATTTTTATTATGACACTAGTTTCAGCCTGCTTGGTTCGCTTGGAATTTAGAAGTCTAATTGATGGACGTGATTACCATGAGCTATGGATATAGCAAATAATATCATTGTTATCATCATATCAGCCGTTAATAACTGTCCACTGCTGGACACAGACTTCCTTTTTGGGGTATTTTGTCAGTAGTTGCCACGTTTGGCAGGTGGGTTGGTAAACGCAATTAGACTTTGATGATGTTTTAAAAAAGAGGCTGCTGCCCATTCTTCGACCTTTAAATCCCCTTAATTATCTATTACAACTCTCAAGGGAAAGAAGAGGATGGTCCACTTTTTTAAACTTCAGTGGTCAAAAATACACCGATGCAGAATGAAATATTTCATATACAAATATATGTTTAGATAAAAAATTTTTCGTTTATCGTCGATCAAATTTTATGTCAACAAAATAAGAACAAATTGGAAAATATGAATGTAACAGCTTTGATGTATAAGATCAAGTACGATTATTGAGCAATCTCAAACGTACATAGTAACTGAACGAGTGTATTCCTGTGTACGAGTATAATGTTTACTCGACGCAAGTAATTTCATAAGACAATGTTACGCTAAAATCATATTTTGTTATTTTTAATTGTGTAAGTATAATATTGCTCTATTTATATATATAACAAAAGTAATGTAGTGAACAAAATTGTAATTAGCTTTTCATGTTTTTTATGCACAATCATCGCTTACGAGCTGAAGCCAAGTTTACGCTGAAATTATATTTTGTTATTTTTGTTCATGTATGTAATTGTTCTATTCTGTTAATATTATAAATAATACAGTTTCTATAATAACGATCGTTAAATATTAGTAATTAAAATAAATTTACCAATGATAACTGACGAAAGGATGAAGAAGCGTTGTCGACTGGCGGCTCCATACAAGCAGGCATAGTGTCAAGCAACAACCGCGAGTTGATGCATGCAAATACAAGATTTATGCCCCCCGTTATAATGAACTAAATTCATATATCAATCACGTGAACTAGGTATATAGAGCATGGCATGTAACACTTATATGACGTCTTTAATCAATGGGCATGTAGTTTACCTTTATGATAAACTAAGTCTTGATGCTAACGTAAACTAAAAGTTAATGCGGCCCATAGACTAAATAGTTTAAAGACCCTTGGTCTAAAAATTAAACAAATTTATTTCTTTTTTACATAGCCCACATTATTTCCTACTTTCCATTTTTTTTTTTTTTTTGTTAATCAACCAAAACAAGATTTCTCAAATAAAAATTAAATGCCTTAAAGTTTACGCACTTCTCTTGTCATGAAACCTTTATTTAATTTAAACCTGTTGAATCATTTTTGGATTAAATAAAAATATTTAATATGAACCATTTATAATATAGACCCAAAATCTTTTGGCTCTACAATATATCGTACATTACCTCCATTAGCAGACCGTTGGATTAATAACTTTTTTTTACTGCTACATCTGTTGAAATTTCTGAATCATTGCCAAGTTAAATAAATAATTTACTTCTACAGATGGTACTCGGTGTTACAAAGCAAACAGTTCGACAATGTACTTATTGCATGTACCGAATTTTGTTTATAATTTAGTATGTATATTTAATAAATATTGCAAAATTGTTAAGTTAATCATTACTTACTATTTAAAGCCCATAACTTTGTTCCCCGCAATTGCCTCAGGAGTATTTGTCCTTGACGTCGGCATTCTGGATTATGAATACGAGAGAAATTAGGTGCAAACGTTGGAAAAAATGAATAGAAGTCTTCAAATTCACTTTGAAGTAAATTTCTCCTCTTCAAGGCATCAGTTACTTGTTTCAAATTACTTTCACTTTTTGAATGTACTTCTTTACGTTCATGAGTAGATTCTATTGATTTTTTATGAGAACTTTCCTGCTGTTTTTTGGTAACGGACTCAGTTTTAGTTGATTTTTTTGTTTCTTTTGATTTAGATGTTTCTTTAGGTTTATCGTCCTTCTTGCTTTCCAAATTAGATTTCTTTACTTCTTTCTTTAGATTTTCTTTCTCTTCTTTTTTTGAGGTCTTTTTTTCTTGAGGAGGTTTCAATTGAGTCGAATCTTTAGATGTTTCTTTTTGTTGCTTTGCAGTGTCTCTTTCCGGTTTTTCATCTACAGGTTTTATTTCATGTTTTTTTTCTTTTTGTACCTCCTTTTGGTCAGTTTTTTGTGACAGAGTTTTATCACTTATTTTCTCCTTAACTTCTGATAATTTGTTTTCATTTTTTATGGGGCCTAGTTTTTCCTTTTGTTTTTTCTCGTCCTCTGTTGTAGTTATTTTAGATTTAGATCCCTTTGTTTGATTATCTTCTTTAATTTTTTCCTTTAAATCTTTTGTCTTTTTTTCTTTGGTAACTATTTTTTTAGTTATGGAAATCTTAATACCATCATCTTCGTCGTCGTCGTCATCATCATCGTCGTCATCGCCGTCACTATCATCATCATCATCATCGCTGTTTTTATTAATATCCCTTAGTTTTAATATAGGCTTTTTTACTTCATTTTCTTTTAAATTTTGTTTAGAATCGTATTTGACATTAGATATTTTTCGATTATTCTCTTTTGAATCCTCCTTACTTCCGTCATCATCATTATCGTCATCATCATCATCATCGTTATCATTATCTGTTTTAACTGTAGGCTTTTTACTCTCTAAAATATTTGTCTTGAATTCGCTTGTTTGTTCAATCTTTAAAGTAGGCTGACCCTTAGAGCTAGTTTTCTTATTTAATAATTCCACTTCAACAGAATCATCATCATTTATGGCAGTTTTGTCCTTGAACTTTAAAGCAGATTTACCTTCAATTATCTTTTGGTTTATTATTTGTGGCTTCTCCCGGACCACTTTTTTCACTTCTTCATACTTTTTTTCACTTTCGATCTTAACATTATGCAGCTTATAACCAACCTTGGGCTCGTTCACATCACAATCGTCACACTTTCTCGTTTTCAATTCTGGTTTATTGATCTCATTGGTGGATTTAGGTAAATCGCGTATACGGAATGCGGTTATCACTGTCGTTAGGATAGGTAGACAAATTAAAATTAGAGCTAACGTCCATCGATAGCGCGCCATTGCCGACGCGAGGCGGTCACGGCGCCATAGCCGTATCAACTAAGAAGTTTTCACTCACAAACCAAGCTGTTTATTTCCATCACACACTTAAAACGCATCTCATTGAGTACACTGGAGGATTTCATTGATCGTTATCGAGAATTTTGTCTTTGTGTTGTATGATTTGGACTTTTTCGGGATAAAGACACGTTACCCAGCAGTTATATGTAGTGTACTGGCGTACGGGCACAGCTGATGGCATGCTTCCAACGTTACGATAAAAATAGTATTGCACAGGCGATTGTCCGGAGTTTGGGCTGATTTGACGACGACAGATTGACTGCACTCCGATAGCAAACTTGACATGATTTCACTTGATTGTATTAACGTTTATTTAATGTAAAATAAAAAAATTAATACCTTTGAATTGTATAATTAAAATTGTATAATTAAAAATTAACAAAGCGTCATCTAGTCCCAAACTAAACGAATCTTATACTATGGGATTATCTTATATATAAGGGCATATAGACAACTGATAGAATATTTAAATACATTTTTTATAAATACATATAGGTATATGTTTGTCGGTATAGAATAGGCCACCCCTTTCTTTCCCGTGGGTGTCGTAAGAAGCGACTAAAAGATATTGTGGTCCACGGATAGGCAGCAACGTCCCACTTTATACATCTCTAAAAGCCTAACTGCGGTTGCCAATCCGCGTGCCAAGCGTGACAACTACTGGCAAGACTTCTCTCATTGAGAAGGTTTATGTTCAACAGTAAACAGTTAACGGCTGAAATAAAAATAATAAATATATTATAATAGATAGAAAATACCCATATCAATATAAACGGTCATACGGATAGATGAATACATAAGTTTATATTGTGCGGAATTCGAATCCTCGGAAGGTAAATGTTTTGAGCGATGTGTTGAGCTGCTGGAACACCAAGGTCGTCTATATTTATAACAAATTTAAATAAACATGAAACATTTAACAATTGCATTTTACAATAAAACAATGTACCTAATTATAATCGATTTATTGGATAACTAGCTTTTTGCATAGATACTACATCGTATGCGTGGACTTCAGATGTAATAAAACCAATGAAATATACTAGATTCTAGATACATGCTACATACGAGTTAGACCTTTAGGAACAGAACTGTGAAACAGCATCCAATTTGGTGCAATAGTTTTTGTATATTGCCAGAACAATCAAACAGACAGACAAAATTCCAAAAATTATTGTTTTGCCTTTTATAGCTCTTGTTAAGAGCTCTGATATAATTTTCCCTTATATTGTATTGTATTGTAAAATCTTTATTGTACATAATTTACATTGAATACATTAAATGATTTAGTAGTAGCGGACTTATCCCATAAAGGACTTATCCCATAAAACACATACATAAATCATAATAGTGGGTTATGTACTAAAATCGCTGTCGATGAGTCGATACATATCAAAAGGATTGGTCGTACTTCCTATTTGCGTTTTGGATTAAAACGCTGGCCATTATAACCGCCAGCACTTTGGTAATCAGACACTTTAATCAAACATTCAGATAATCTTCTAGTCTCCAATCTTCATGGCCCCGTCATTTCAACCTCACCCTTACAATATGGTATCCTTCATACCATAGATACGTGTATTTGTGTACCTACATGCAATACCAAGGAGAGACAAAAAACATTTTTTTCAATGGGCCAAATAAAAAATGTATGTAGTTATAAAAATACCATTTCTGTTTGTTTATTTATTTATTTATTTATAAAAGGCACACCAACATTATGCTCACAATAATTAAGCAGACAATATACAATGTTATTAGTAAGTAAAAGAGAAAAACTACTATTGAAAAATGCTTAAATCTAAGTTTGAACAAAACAATCTTATACATTTTACAACAGGTACACTAAAACTTTAAGTAGATTTAACGTAAACCCCTAAATGATTGACTAATTTATTTTACATATATTTTTTAATGTCTTATTTAAATTATAATACCTAAACCAATAATCAATTTATCTCATCACTTATAGATTTATTGGAAAATCTCTCTTATAGATCCTCGCCTTTTAATATTTTTCCCTGTACTTATAATAGTGTTACCATACTTATATAATAATGTTACTATTTTCATGGACAGTAAAATATATGTACATGGCTATTGTGTATAGCAAGTATAAGATACACCCACCTATTTCATGATTTTACATCACAAGCGCTACCTATGCCGTTATTAAACAGATGTTGCACCTTTGTTGTGGAAAATAAGCTGGTATACATACATACTATAAATTTGGATTTATACTGTATGTATATATACATCTAAACTGATGCAAAGTAGGAAAGTTTACTCTGCTATATTAGACAATAAAGTTCGTTGTCTAAAAACATATCTGCAACTTACTTCACTATACTGTTTCAGTTAAATGAAATAATACCACGAGTATTATAACGTTATCTAATGATTTGGCAATGAAAAATGTATTAAAATAGAAGCTATTATTTTTATTACTCCATGGCCGAACACCTCTTCCTAGTTGTAAAGTTTTGCTTACTTTAGTCCCTGTTGGTTACAACAAAAACAGTACACCGTTGATTTGCTATTTATTTTCAGCAGGCGTTTTTGTCACAAATTACTAAGCCGTTAACTGTCCAATGCTAAACATATGTCTTTCCAAAAGAGGGATGTCGCCAATAGTTACCACACTTAGCAGGCAGATTAGCAAACGCAATTAGACTTTAGTGATGTTTTAATTGATACGCTACTGCCTATCTCTCGATCATTAAGTTCCCTTAATCTCCTCCTACTACAGCCAGGGGAATAGAAGGAATGGCCCATTCTATACCGAAACCACACAGCTTATTAGGTATTAACTATGATATAATATAAATTCAACCGTTCTCCGTTTTAAATACTTTTTAAAAAAATATGAAATATCGTGATGATTATTAAAGCTATCAAAACACCAAGAGGTAACTATGACAAATTCACTATCACATTTATAATATTAATGCGGTTGCCAACCAGCTTACCAAGCATGGCAACTACTAGCAAAACCCTTGCCCCTATGCCAATAAGAAGGGTTTTGTTCGGCAGAGGACAGTAACGACGGAAATGATGATCCATATATGAGTCGATCCGTAAGTCGAGGCCATTAGTACGGGTATGATTATATATTTCGTATATATATTTTACTTTCTGTGTCTATATTTCGCAATTTTTTTTTTTGATGGGTGAAAATGTAATGGTAACCACGCCTGCGCTAACGGAATACGCTGACGGAGCACCAGTGAAGGGTGATAGGTGAAGATGAAGCAGGTCAGTTAGCCCATCATGATGATATCGACAAGAAATAACATGATGATTTCCAGGGGGAACCGCGTGGAGGTCGACCTAAGAGGGTCTATTGCTAGTAATGGAGTTAGAAGACCTCATTACTAGCAATCCCTTTCCCCCCTATATTTCGTAATTACATCGCTGATCCTCTACTAATATTCTCATATAGGTCCTTTATTAATTTTGCAACCCTTGATCTGTCATCTTTATTTGCTGAACAAAACATTGTATATCTTGAAGAAAAATCTATTTATAAATATACGTGACCTCGTTCTAAATTCAAATATTGTTCTTCTTTGTTTATTTTCTTCGCAACAAATAGGATTTGCTCTAAAAAATCCGGCTAAGTGCAAGTCGGGTTCGTGTACCGAAGATGCCGTAGAAATTTATATATTTGAAAAAAAAAATTTAATACAAATTTACAATTTTCGTCTTTTCCCCTTTACTTGGGCTGTACGATATTGCTTTTAACCAAATCTTTCGATTCTAGGTCAACGAGAAGTATCCTACAGGTTTTTTTAACATAATTTTAACAGAGATTTAAAACAGTAACTATGTGTGTGTTTCTATTTTATTTATTTATAGAAGATCCTGCGGGCTCTTCTCAACAGATAACAACCTTCCGAACTCTGCAGTAGATTAAAAAAATTGACGTTGTAAAAGTATTTGTGAACAAGTCTATGTAAATAAAGATGATTTGAATTTAAAAACAAGGAGGTTTCCAATTCGGCTGTATTTATTTTTTGTAATTTATTAACTACCTTTAACCAAAAAAATATTCGTCAAATTAAGAACCTCTATTTTTATAAATCGGTAAAAAACAACATCATATGTTTTTAATTACAAAAACTGATTAGGTAATCGATTTCAAAGAACTCATTGCACGTATTTGTCAGTCACTTAAATAATAATTAAATTTAGATTATTTAAAAATTATTAGCTTTATATCTTAAAACAATAAGAAATTATTTCTTAAAAATCCCCCTGTCATTAATTGACTATGCACGTGCCTGATTTTAACGACGAATTAATATTCATTACAATAATGAAATCTTATCTAAAAACCTAGTTTTTGGTACAATAGGATTAATATACCTAAAGAAGACAAAAACCATTAAAAAATTTAAAATAAAAATAAACTGGTAAATCTGAGTACGAATTTACCATCACTAAATAATGGATAATTAAACATTATGTTCAACAAAAAAACAGGGGGTCTACCATGAAATGAAATTCCGAAATTTCGGACTCAATTTCGTGTTTATGTTTATACCAAAATCGGATCAATAAATGGAGTTTAACATTTCGTTCGTCATACATCCTATCATAAAAGACCAAAGGAAAAATATTTTAACATTTTTAATATTTCCAAACGGCATGTATTATGTAATTTTGACATCAAATTTGTGTTTCGTTTGGCTGCGAAATTTCGGAAAACATTTCATGGTAGGCCCTCAGACTTCAATTGTGACACGCGACGTAACTGAAGACTTGGCAAATGTGTTATCACTGTGCGCTGATAGCGCCAATTATTTTTGATATATACACAAAAATCTAACATTTAGCGAGTCGTTGACGAGCGTTGGCCACAAATGTTATAATTAGAGATTGTATTCCACGAAAAAAAGTCCGTGAAAAACCAATTCATTAGGTAATTAAACTAGTGAACCGATTTTGATAAAATATTTATGAGACATTGTGTAAGTACATTCATTGAAATAAAATAAACTGACTGAGTTATGAGGTAACATCATAAAAAAATACAACCGAGCTGAGAACCTGAGAGAGACCTGTTCACTATAATATAGAAAACAATATATATATATATATATATATATATATATATATATATATATATATATATATATATATATATATATATATATATATATATATATATATATATAATATTGTTTACTCTGGGTTATTTATCTGAGGCAAGCTCTTTTAAATTTTCTATATTGCGTCTATTGGTGAAAACCTATAAATGACTTCAATGTTGTTACATTGTAGTTATTTTTTATGCAAATAAGTCTTAGTTTTCCTTTTACAAATAAATATTTAAAAATGGATAGCATAATATTTATTTATTTTACACTTTATTGCACCAAGTAAAAAAATAAATACTGATACAAAAGTGTTCATTTACTACTTTTCATCAGCTCCTTCAGCCGCATAATATGTGATGACATATACACATATACCCTATGTTACTTTTTTTGACATAATTGTGAGGTGTAAAAACTAACGATAACACATTTAAGCCGAATCTGAGGTATCATTTTTCAAAACTTAATAAATAAAAGAATTACTATTTTATGGATCGTCATAAATTAAATTTTTATAATTTTGACTTAAATTTGTTGGAAATTTAGTTTATACTAGCTATATCCCGTGACTTCAACTGCATAAATTAGTACATAAGTATCCTATCTGCTAAGTTAGGACATAGGATATTTATGTACCTGCCCATGTAATAAATTTCATTCAAATGCGTCTAGTACTTTTTACTTGAAAGAGTAACAAATCCTTTTTTTATGCAACTTAGAATGGCAAGCAAGCTGACGACCCACAACACTGCCATGCAAACACAACTGCTTCACGGTAAAAACACGAATGAGACAGAGGTGCCCAAGCAAACGACTTTTGTATAAAGTCTCCCTTTGGTCCTTCCAAACTTTCGAATTTATAACATTTTAATTTTAAAGATAGGTTTAGAAATATAGTGTCTCAGTATCGACCCCATAGTCTTCGCATTCGGTCAAGGAGGTGGCGTTACGCATAAGGACTGTCAATCAATTGCTAATTATTATTTATCACGTAGTTTAAACAACAATCTTTGAATTTAAAATTAAAGTAGTATATTATTTAAAATACATGCTCTATCAAGAAGCCACAACACAATCTTTAGATTATTACATTTGTAAGTATATTGACATGAACATCGAAAGTTTAAAAATGATTTTACTCCGCAAATCAAAACATACCCAACGTCAAAAGCATACCCATGCACTACAGGATGTCTCGTGGATATTTATATTAGGTTAAAAATGCTTCTATTCAAAACGCGATACCGTAAATCTAGTTGTATGTCTAAATTTACTTCACATCAAGTAGAATTTTGCTCCGCAAAGAGAACAGCGACATTAATATTTTTTTCAGTGGGAATACGTCCAATTTTAAGAAAATTGTTAAAGAAATTTATAATAACACAAAAATTCTATGAAAAAAAATTACTACAACTACAACAAAATAAAAATTTAACGCTATTAGGTGTTTATTCTTTGCTCAAGCTTGAAAAAAGGTCCTACAATAGGCGATAGAAGACTAAACAGTTTTTTTTTTCAACAAATTTACTTAATTTTGTCAACCACGCAGAGAAATTCACGGAAACAGCTAGTATTTATATAAAATACCTATGTATTTTATGAATACTGTGTGTGGAATAAGACCAGTCCACCAATCAATTCATGCGGACAAACTTGGCCCAGAAAACAGGACCTATCCCTAAAACAAATCACTATTATTGAAAAACAATTGTTTTTATGAAATAAACAGCTACGAGATCAAGTATATACATAAATAAGTAAATGAATTTCACAATCCTATTGTCCGACGTATCGTATCGTGTCATTGTCACAGGTGATCAATAGTTCGCAGACGAGTTAATACGGTTGGTGCGCTCGCGCACTACCATTGAGTCGAGCATCATGGCTGCGCGCGCATGCGTACTGCTCCTCTGCGCAGCCGTAGTTGCTGCACGCGAGTGCATCGAACTAACGTTATCAGATAAAAGTATTCTCACAGAAAGTCTGTTCAATGGGACGTTAATAAAGTTCGGCCTTAACCATACAGCCGAAGAGAGCCCGCGTTTCAATATTCTAGACGTGTGGGATAGATTCCCGAGGGTTGTGGTGCCGAAGAACGGGACGAGCGAACAATGCCGCCGGGACAGTCAACATTACATTGACAGCTTGGAAAAACTGGAATTGTGGGCGTTGAAAAGTAATATTCATTTACGTATTACGCTTGGCATGTGGGTATATCGAAACTGCATTTGTTTGTATTTACAAAATTGTGGTAACACATACATATATGTGTCAGCTATGTTTCAATCACGAATATTTATATTACAAATTATTGAGTGCATTTTTAAATACAGTATTAATAATATTTTATTAAATAAGCAACTTTCATTCGTTGGTAACTTTTACACCTACATTGCAATTTGCATGCCTTTCTTACTTACTATTCTACTTATGCATATTTTTATAACATAAAATACCTTCTATTAATTATGTTAACAAAATATTCACAATTAAAGTTCACTTTTCTGCGATTACTCGTTCATATTAGTATCGAAATTTATAAAAAAAAATATTTAGTATAGGTTATAAAAACAATTTAATTTTGCATCTACAAATACACGTAAAAAAATATATTAAATATATTATTAATAACTAACCACGCTAATTGTTTAAAATCTATTTACAAGTGAATATCTAAAACGAATTCAGTAAAAAATAAATTCTAAAATTAAATAATTCTACGGGAAACCAAAACTGCACAACGATGGGATGGCTATTACATTATAATTTTTAAATCAAGCTTACCGGTACCTAATTCCTTCGTTATCACGAACAGATTTAGTTACACATAAAATAAACAGAAAACAAACGTCAGTCAACAAAAATGAGCCTTATCAATTGAAAAAAGCATCACCAAAATCCATTCAGAATTGTTTTTATAATACAGTATAAAACGATCATGCGGCTCATCTGACGGTGAGTGACTACCCCTCCCCCTTCCCAACCCCCAGGAGCACCCGCGACACTGAAGCAATGACATGTGTGCTCCGAATCAAAGAAAATATCACATAACGCACACAAAATAAACCTGTCGAGTTAAAAACCCCATTTGTTTTGAAGTTGCTTAAACTACTACGAATCAAGAAATTTGGGTTAACTGTGAAAACCGTCCATTAACATCACTAATATGTATTTTCATTTACCTACATATCGATTAGTCTAAATTCGCATTCGATACCTAATACTTCGGTATAATAGCACTTGATGTTATATATATATATATATATATATATATATATATATATATATATATATATATATATATTTGTAACATTGTAATTACATACTTCGAACGTAGAAAATAGGGACAAGTTAATATCTTCACGCTAAGACCTCAATAATAGATATGCCGGTTCTTGATCTCTTGATTCCTATCACAGATGGGATACGTTTTGTCTAATCACTAGCTGTATCCCACGGCTTCGTCCGATCCGATCCTATCGTGATATAAAATACCTTATAACATTCGTCATGAAATAAGCTATATAATGCAAAATTATTTTTTAGTTTCTACTGTTAGTTCTACAGATTAGCGCGTTCAAGCAAACATACAAATTATTCAGATAAAAGTTGGAAAAAACAGATCATCGTCGTCATTGTATCGACCGTTAAATGTCCACTGCTGAACATAGGTCACCCCCTATGGGGTGCTTTGCTAGTAATTGTGCTGGTGACGTTTTAAGAGGGACGCTACTGCCCATCCCTCCACAATTAAGTAACCTTAATCGCCTCTTACGTCACCCACAGAATAAGATAAGAAAGAATAGATATTCAACGTTTTATCTATCATTTGTCCAAACATATCACATGTCCGAATCAATACAGAATACCTACTGTTTCTAATTTATACATTATCCGAAGTTAACTCCATAACAATTAACAATTTTTATATAAATAAAAAATTGGACAGTCTAATAAAATTGTAATCCACATAAAATATATTTTGTTCTGAAAACTAAACTACTTGAATGATTTTGATAAAATGTCTATGAAACTAGTCTGTATTATATCTCCTTTTACAAAAAAATAAATGTTTAAATTAATTATAACTCATGGAATTATGAGGTATCAAACAAAAAAGGGCCACTAAATTAAGAAACTCCTTTTTTGAAGTCGGTTACAAATCGTCTACTTAATAAAGTTATAAATCAACCAACATTGTTTACCAAAAGTGTGCTTTATTTTAAAAATAAACAGCATATTTTTTGATGGGTGAAAATGGTATGGTAACCCCGCCTGCACTAACGTGATACGCTGGCGGAGCACCAGTGAAGGGTGATAGATGAGAATGAAAACAGGCCAGTTAGCCCATCATGATGAATTCATCAGGAATTAACCATGATGGTTTCCAGGGAAAACCGCGAAGAGGTCGACCTGGTTGGGTATATTGCTAGCAATTGGATTCTCAGTTTCCATTGCTAACAATCCCTTTTCCTCCAAATAAATAGCATTAATAATGAAATACTGTACAGTTTTATAAAACGCTTATACGTTTATATTGTGAACAACATATGTATGTTAAATGAGAATCCGGGATCGAATCTCAGTCGAATGAAATAACTTTTAAATTCATTCTAGTCACACGATCAGATTTTTTAGAATCTAATCCTTATTACTGTTTGTAAAACTAGTTAAATATATTATCACATACATACAAAACATTATATCTATACATATCTGTCACGCCTCTCTCCCATTGGGGTAGGCAAGTACAATAGAACACATTGTATCTTTATTATCTATACTAATATTCTAAAGTGGGAAGATTTGATTGATTGTTTGTGTGTTTGATACACTCAAAAACTACTGAACGGATTTCAATGAAATTTGTTACACGAATAGGTTATATCCTAACTTAGCATGTGAAATACTTTACGTACGCATTCACATAGGCGAAGCCACGGGGTACTGTTAGAATGAAATATAAACAATTATTACCCACCTAAAGTACTTTTATCCTATGTAAATATTTGTCTGATCCTTATCTCTTGAATTTAAATATTATCGATCTTACTGCAAAATTAATTTATTTATTCGCTGATAATCAGCGAATAACATTGACTATATTTCATAAAAAAAAATTTTATCCCTAAGTAAATTGCAATAATATAACCTAAAGTATCAAAAATTCTATTAAACTACTTGTTATTTCTTATTATTATATAACTCTTATAAACAATAAACCTTATTTTCGATTCAATATGGCTATTGTTTTCTCCATTCAAATACTATAATTGCAAAAGAAACTCTGTATGTCTGTCTATTACTCTTTCATGACTAAACCACTGAACCAATTTAATGGATTTTGGTACAGATATATATTGAACCTAGCCATAGGCTACATTTTGTCACATAACAGTAAAATTTTATAGGAACAAATTACAGGACGAAAGTTTATATAAGAAATCAACCATTTTTCAAGTAATAAATATAAAACTTAATTTTATGCAGGCGAAGTAGCGGGCATCAGTTTTTTTTTGATGGGTGAAAATGGTATGGTAACTCTGCCTGCACTAACGGGATACGCTGGCGGAGCACCAGTGAAGGGTGATAGATGAGAATGAAGGGGGAACCGCGAGGAGGTCGACCTGATTGGGTATATTGCTAGCAATGGGATTCTTAGTCTCCATTACTTACAATCCCTTTCCCCCAGCGGGCATCAGTTATAGTCATTAACTTCATTTCAAAACTAATAAAGATATTTTTTAATATACACACAAAATTACAATTAAATTAAAAATCTCATCTATTATAAGGTTAGTTACAATTCCACATTAATTATCCATTTAAACATGATAAATTCCTATTGAATCGAGATAGGCTTCATTTATAAATTTATTGTTACAAATACAAGGTGACTCAAAAGAAAGTTCACATTTAAAAATCGATAAAAAATTAAACAAGGAGTTCATTAAAAAATATTTATTACATGTTAAAATACACTTTTTGGGAATTTATTCCTTGAAAATGATATCGTCCAAGTCCGTTGCGTTCACGGCATTCATTTAATCGAGCTCTAAAATTTTCTATGACGGCTCGGCATGTATTGTCCGTGATGGCTGCCATTTCGTGATGGATATTTTCTTTTAATTGTGCCAAGGAAGTCGGTTTGTTGGCATAAACTTATGGTTTAACGTAACCCCACAGGAAAAGTCCATAGGGGTTAAATCAGGAATCCGTGGAGGCTAATTTATATCATCTCTCCTGGATATCAATTTGCCAGGAAAAATTTAATTCAGGTATAACATGATTATTTATTTAACATGATAGCTATTTCAATCAGGAAAAGGGAAAAATAAACAAAATGTAACAGAATACTGTATAAGATGGTAAAAAAAAAACAGGAAAAATCTACTTTTTCTTGTTATTTACCATCTTGATTTACTTTGCTTTGCTTTTTTTAAACTGACCTCTTATACATAAAAACTAAACCCTTCACTCTTATTCATAAAAACACTAAAATAAGTTTGTAACCTATTTTTACTATTACAGTGCTTTGTCACTTTCATTCAAACTAAGAATTTAGCACAAAAGAAGGAGACAAAACAGTTCAATAGCTAAAATAGGTTTATAAAACGTCTGACGTTTTTATGAATAAGTTTTTATGAGTTAAACTTTATTTGCGATACTTTATCGGTTCCAAATTATAATGTAAATATCCATTTGTGTGTATCACGTTTGACAGTTTATATTACTACTTATAATATCGGCATTAAGGATTAGATCATATGTCATTGATACGTGTAACATACTAATCAGAAGTCTTGATACGTACTCGATCCGCTCTGATACACCGAGCAAATTTCAATTAACAACTACGCAGTCCACAAGGTCACAATTATTTGGAAAATATCTTGGGTTTTTTTTTACAATTCGTAGCATTTTATTATCATAAAAATTGTTGTACTTAGTCTCATCGACAAAATACGCAACAATCGGCAATTGAAAATTTAAGATTTTTTAAAAGATTTTTACAGAAATACAGGCAAATAGAAAATCTTTTGGTAATCCTTATATCTTTACTAATCTATACCAGAGGGAAACTTTGTACAAAAGTGGTTTGCTTGGGCACTACTGTCCCATTCGTGTTTCTACCTTAAAGCAGTAATGTTTGCATGGCTGTGTTTCGGTTTGAAGGGCAATTTACAAGATATAGAGGAGTAACTATAATTTACTCTGTTATGTTCACAGTACTGCTCATGTTTATAGGCAATGGTTACCACTTTCTATCAGGTGGGCCGTTAGCTTGTTTGCCATTCTAAGTTGCGTAAAAAAAATATAAAGAGGAAAGATTTGATTTTTGTTTGTTTGTAATAAATAAACTTAAAAATTACTTAATCAATTTTTTTATTTCTTTCAACTATAGAAAACTATATCAACAAGTAACATAATATAAAAATTACAACCGTCATATCAACCTCTAACCGTCCACTGCTGAACATAAGCCTCCCCCTTGGGGGGTATGGCCATTAATTATCATTAATTGCCACGTTTGGCAGCAGGGTTGGCAACCGTAGTTAGGCTTTAGAGATATTTTAAAGGGATACTGCTGCCCATACCTCACCCTCCCTTAATCGCCTCTTACGACACCCACGGGAAAGGAAGGGATGGCCTATTCTACGCCAAGACTAAACGGTAATAAAAATTATAATAATGCATTAAAAATTTTACAAAAATACTAATAATCCTTCATTTTTAATAATAATCTACTGGACAAAACCGGGGTGGATGGCAAGTAATATTATAAACGTGAAAGTAAGTTTGTTAGATTGTTACCTTGTGGCACCTTGACAGCTTAACCAATCACTATGAAATACTATATGGGACGGAGTAGGATAAGACTACTGCTTATCCCGAACAATAAACATATTCCAATCAAATGGACAAATTAAAAAAAAAAAATCCGACAGACATTATTCTATCTAAATCTGTTAATCTAACTATAAAGACCGTCAACGTACAAGCAAATCGTCTCGTGTTGCAGGTGTTCATGGACGACTGTAGCCGCTTTCCATCAGATGGATCGTCTGTTCGATTGCCTTCCAACAATAAAAAAAAAATAGAAAAAAGTGAATAATATTACTGGCCCATTCTCTGACTTGACTGAAAATTTTAAAAATTACCATTCTTCACGTTTGCTCTTAGCGAGACATTTGACGATTCACATTAATTTATATAGTTTAAAATTAGACTACTCACAGATCCACAATCCGTAATGGAAAAAAAAAATTAAAAAAAAAAAATCTTTGATTGCTATATTTTTACATCAATGATTCCCTCTATTAAAATAGTCTACTAAAGTATTATTTATTAATGTATTAAGTATGTGAAATACTTTTTAAAATTAGGATATGATGGGGCTAACATATCCCTATAGGATCATCATCATTATCATATCAGCCTTTAACTGTCCACTGCTGAACATAAACCTCCCCCTTGGGGGGTTTTGCCAGTAGTTGCCACTCTTGGCTGGCGGATTGGCAACCACAGTCAGGGCTTTAAAGACGTTTTAAGAGGGACGCTGCTGTTCTCCCTTAGTCGCCTCTTACGACACCCACGGTAAAGGAAGGGGTAGCCTATTCTATGCGGGGACCACACGGCCAGGATCCCTATAAAAGTCTCTAAATAAAAAAAAAATATTAAAATTAGACAAATATTTATTACTGTAATACAAAAGTTGTCAGTCTTTTGGTAAACGTACCGTATATGAATGCATACAAGTGTCGTATGGTTAACCCAATGGCCACAAGACAACACGATGTCAATGCCACCGGGTCAGTGTCAGCAAAAATCGTCGACGTAACGCAGCACACGTGTCTGTAGACAGTAGAATTATGCACGTAGAAGTGTTTAATGGTGTTATTCTATAGAGATGCAATCTGTCCCGGCAAACCTAATTTTTCTCATCTTCATCGTCCATTTAAATCCAAAATATATTAATTTATAATTTTAAAATAAATAGTTTTGAAATGATTTAAGAGAATAGGCGAAACTTTACCACCAACCCACCCTCCAATTTTTTATGGGTGAAAATGGAATAACAGCCCCGCCTGCGCTAACGGTATACGCTGGCGGGGCACCAGTGAAGGGTGATCGATGAGAATGAGAACAGGCCAGTTAGCCCATCATGATTAATTTATCAGGAATTAACCATGATAGCTTCCAGGGGGAACCGCGAGGAGGTGGACCTGGTTAGATATATTGCTAGCAATGGGGAAAAGGGATTCTTAGTCTCCATTACTAACAATCCCTTTTCCCCCGACGGTTAATAGTCAGTCAGGATGAGTTTAGTAGTTTAACATTCTGGTAAATTAAATCATTTAATTTACCAGAATGTCCCACTCGAGCAGCTATACTGTATACTCTGCTTGCATTTAAAAGATGGAATATATTATCATCATATTATATCAACCGTTAGTAGTCCACTGCTGGACATAAGCGGGAGGCCTTAGGGGACTTTTTTATTTATTTATTTATTTATTCATTAGTACAAATATGTGTACATGGCGGGCTTAATGCTAAAAGCATTCTCTCCCAGTCAACCATAGGGAATTGTCAGGATATTCGAATGCGGTACTACTAATTATTGATATACATACATACTAAAATTACATATATAAACGAATAAATATATATAAATAACAAATATACTGTTTTATTTGTTTTATACAACTTAGAATGGCAAACAAGCTGACGGCCCACCTGATGAAAAGTGATAATCGTCGCCTATAGACATGAGCAGTACCATGGACATAACAGAGTATACTGTTTCGCCCATGATACCTCCCATGCATTGCCATTCCTGAGGACTCAGGTGTTATTCCTCTGTACCCAGTAAATTCACGCCATATCCCAGCCTTCAAACCGAAACACAGTCATGTAAACACAACTGCTTCACGGTTGAAACACGAATGGGACAGAGGTACCCAAGCAATCGACTTTTGTACAAAGTCTCCCTCTGGTAATGGTATACTTACACATATATGACATATACTATAGACTTTGCCAATAGCCGTCACGCTTAGCAGGCAGATTGACAACAGCAGTTAGGCTTTGGTGATATTTTAAACCTCTCAAACCCGCTGCTGTCCATCCCTCGACCACTACGTTCCCTTAGTCGCTTCTTACGACACCCACTAAAGAGGCAGGGTTGGCCTATTTTATGCCAGGACCACAAGACATAGCAAAGAAAGGGATATAGCAATGAAATTCAAGGTACGGTAGGTTAAGGAAACACCTCATCTTAGTCCTCAAAAATGGCAACGCATGAGTAGTATCATGGGTGTTACAGAATATTTTGTGATGTCCAATGTCCATACCTGTTAATGTCTATAAAAGACGATTACAATTTTGGTACGTATCTGTAAATTATTGATGAAAATTAAATCCTTTTTTTTCCATGAGCATACTAAGCATATAAAATCTTATCTGAGAAACCTATTCAGGGGACGATAGGATAGATATAAGTGCAAGTAAAAGTCCTTAAAAATTAAAAAAAAGTAAACATTCTGTTGGATGGGCTTCGGTTTATTCTTACTTACTACTTATGTAAAATTACATCAAAATCATTATTTTAATATTAACGCTTAATTTTGACCTTAAACTTGACACTCCGTACTACATAACCCATATCAAAAAGGTCAATTTATCAACTTAATTAAACAAAACAATAGGAAAACCTTAACAATTCCAAAATAGTTTCTAGAGTCTAATTTTCCGTATCAACTTTGAATGAGCCATTAGACGACCAAAATAAACATTTCCTTAATTTTTTTCATACTAATTGTTGATTAAATTTTAATAGGCATCTATCACTATATACACGTCACTACGTGTATATATTAAATAAATATAAACACAGATTCATTTTATTACATTAATCATTAATTACAGTTTATAAAAATTAGTAAAACACTTGTACTATTCCACGATTTTTTTAGCGAGGTTTGTATAGGATAGGATGCGAATCCTATCCTATACAAAAACGTTTCGAAAAAAATATTTAAATGTCAATGAAATCCATAAGTATCAAAATCCGAAGCATAGTTTAGAAGAAGTAAACACAAAAACAAACAGGCTCAGACAAAAGCTTTAGTTTACATTTTTTAGATATCAGAACTTTAGTATCAGAACTAATGCCAACAATTAGTTTTACAATAAATATGAATTTCATCAAAAAGTAATCTATATACAAAATTTTATTTCATTGCAAACAAACACTAATTAATAATGTTAATGAGTGGCTCAGAGAAAAAGAAAACTATTTTTAATTCATATAATAAAAGCTTCTAGTATTTTTTATTTTTATTTATTGTTATTTCTCGTTTTCCCTTGTATGAAACATTTCCTTTTTCTTTTAGTATTTCACATATTTCAAATACTGCAACTGGCAATATTACGTATTATTATTCCATCAGAAATTGCTGTAGCATATTTATTTTTATTTCTCATTGTTCTAGTGTTCGACGCAACTGCAAAACCTCCCTCGGGAATACTTAGCGGCAACGGCAATCAGTACGGAGACTTCGACGAGTGCCTGAGTGTAGATGGCGCTGTGCGCGGAAAATACTGCCTCGCCTCGCTCCAAGTCAGCCTCACTGATCCTAAGTACAGTCAGATAGACTCTCTTATACATAGCGAGCATTACATACGAAGTAATGTTACAGACGTAAGTATATAGTTCATTAAATGTATAGTATATTATGACTTTATAAAAGTGATTTGAGCGCCCTCTAATTCAAAGCGTGTGTAACTATTAATATAAACTCAAAAGTTTATAAAGAGGGATGAATATTTCTTACTCTTTCAGACAAAAACTGAACATATTTGAATAAAATTTGATACACAGTTTGGTAATCACTTACCGGCAGGTGAGGCGCATGCTCGTTTGCCCCCTGTGTTATTAAAAAAAAAACACCGATTGGTCGTAACTTAACATACATATAGGTAATGTATACTGGTTCACTCGGGTGAAGCCGTAGCGATAATGTTTTGTATAACAATCTTTCCGTGTGATCCCGGCATAGAATAGGCCACCCCTTCCTATCCCGTGGGTGTCGTAAGAGACGACTAAGGGAGGGCGAAGGATGGGCAACAGCGTTCCTCTTAAAACATCTTTAAAGCCTAACTACGGTTGCCAATCCGCCTGCCAAGCGTGGCAGTTATTGGCAAAACCCACCAAGAGGGAGGTTTATGTTCAGCAGTAGACAGTTAAAGGCTGATATGATATGATGAAAATGATAACAGTCTTTGTTTATCAATGTTTTGATTGACACTATTAGTGATGTTCTATCATTACAATGAATTAATTTTTAAAACCCTAAGTCGTAGGTCGCATTGGCTCTTTATACTCCGAAGTAGACTCTATTACAAAATTATTTTAAATAAAGAAAGGACTATCTTACTAAAAGTAATTTTTATCTCTTATTACCACTATTTTTCAGCCAGTTTAACTGTACTAATATATATTTAGCTGCGCAAAAAACAGCCACTACTCCAATCGTGATAAAACACACCGATAATCGACGAGATATTTCGACACATTATTACATTGAAAATATTTGAATTCAGAACGCGTATTCGTGTTTATAAGTAGACTTTGCTTAGCAACAGTTTTTTGCTACGCGAGGATAAACGACAGTTTCTACCGTCACAAATTTAATATGGGACCAACCAATGGGATTTACCGAAGTCGTTTCAGAATTGGTGACCTAATCACGTAAAAATACAGACGAATTGAGAACCTGTTCTATTTGGAAGCAGTTAATAAATAAATATGCTCACGTTTATTAATCTTTGTGGTTTGTCAAGTGTAACATTTGTCAAGTTTTACTTTATAATGTACGTAACACTCACGCTCAAATAATCATCATTACAACTCAATTTAGTCAGCATCCTTACTAGTTAAAGTATTCGCTATTTCTTTGTCCGGGATCAGGACATTGAAGTATTATATACTAACAATACCTCAGTGTTACAAACCGACAAAAAGTGTACACTGACTGATCGCTATTTCTTTGCTAGTCTAAGTACATATCTGTGACAAAAAGTATTAAGTGCGGACATAACGAAGTATGGCGGCTAAAATATTGACCATGCAATAATATTCTTATTAAGCTTGATGTCAAAAATGTATTTGAAAAATTTTGAGGCAATACATGAAGCTAGTGCAAAGAAAAAAAATAAAAAAAGATAAAAAAGATTTTAGTGGTATAATTATATACAAAATTTATATATAATTAGAAATATTAAAAAATGTTAAATAAGTTTTTGAAAATTGTAAAATAATTGCCACACTTCATTAAGCAAATGTTATGAACGCTCTTAAATATTTTAGTTTAGTTGCCAGAACAAACGACCATGCAAAGAACGTAAATCTACAAATAATACTATTGTTAAAAGTTTCGTAAGCACACATTATATTTTGATATAATAACTATCGATTTAATATTAGCTTGAAGTATTGACTTGAATCAGTCCTAAATTATAATTTCTTTTTTAAGTAAATGTCATTTTTAGGGGAATGATTTATTCATTTGAATGTTGTGCATGTCTATCATTGATCCAAATACTAGATTTAGTTTTTTTGTATATGTTGCCAATGTATGAATGTATGGCGTGAATTTACTGGGTACAGAGGAATAACACCTGAGTCCTCAGGAATGGCAACGCATGGGGGGTATCATGGGCGAAACAGTATACTCTATTATGTCCATGCTACTGCTCATGTCTACAGGCGACGGTTACCACTTTCCATCAGGTGGACCGTCAGCTTGTTTGCCATTTTAAGTTGTATAAAAAAAAAGTATTTGTACTGTTGATCTGCTTAAATAAATCAATAACGATTCTTCTTGCAATCATTCTCAACACCAGAGATTGTAAACCGAAACATTTGATATAATTACAGTTTATATGTAGATGAATAAATATTACAAGAAAAATAATACAAAATTTTTTACTAGCACCGTTTTTAAGAAATTATCAAAAAATCTCCAAAATCAAAGTTACGCTGTCCACTTTTGAACCACAACTATTGCTCAAAATAAGAAATTACGAATAGTAATATCAATAACAATAACTATTAGGTTCTATTTCGTATGATAAACGGATGTTTTTATACAACTTAGAATGGCAAACAAGCTAACGGCCCACCTGATGGAAAGTGATAACCGTCGCCTATAGACATGAGCAGTACCATGAACATAACAGAGTATACTGTTTCACCCATGATACCCCCCATGCGTTGCCATTCCTGAGGACTCAAGTGTTATTCCTCTGTACCCTGTAAATTAACGCCATATCCCACCCTTCAAACTGAAACACAGATATGCAAACACAACTGTTTTACGGTTTAAACACGAATGGTACAGAAGTAACCAAGCAAACAACTTTTGTACATAGTCTTCCTCTGGTAAATAAATATCAGTCTTATCTGGAATAAAGGCCATTTTATATCATGCTTATATATTTATGTACGGAATCCTCGGCTTGTGTTCAACTCGCTCCTGACCAATTTTATTTTTTGCAAAGTAGACATTGCTTAGTCTATGGTAGATTACGTAAGCTTTACAATAGTATATAAAAAGGTATATTTTAACTACCATATGTGTCAAGATAAAGTACTAATATAACACACATGGATTGTTATTGACAATAAAATATGTATATGCTCAAAGGTTTAGTAGCAAAAAATTATCAAATTTTAACTGGATTTTGTAAAGTGGTTACATAAACATTGTTTAGAAGTCGCTAAATACATTTCTCTGTATTAAAGGATTATGTCAGCCTATTTAATATAATTTACAAGTATATCTTAAAAGCAACGGAACAAGCTACTAGTTAGTTATTTGTTATTAAAAAAATAATCAATTTTATTCCTAAACTACGAAGATATTAATGGGGTCGTGACACTCATAGTATTCAGACAGCCTTTACGATGGTTTGATATCTTTGTGGTGTAAAGGCTCCAGTAGATGGTCCAGTAGTTGGTCGAACACGCTAGGCAAGTTCAATTGCACTTGCCGAGCGTGGCGAATATTTTCTTGCCTTCATGCGTGTTTTTAACCAACTTCAAAAAGATTCTTATTCGATTGTCTTTTTTTATTATCTCATAACTCCGTCAGTTCTAAACCGACTTCGAAAATTCTTTTTTTATCTAAAAGGATATATTTACAGATCAGTTCCGTAGATATTTTATCAAAATCGGTTCAGTACTTTAGTTTTTAAATCAAAATACTTAGTTTTGTCAAAATTGTAGTCGGTTTTTTTTGTAGGAGACGATTTTTAATTATATTATTGGTGGCCAGCGCTCGTCAACGAGCCGCCAAGTGTCAGCTTTTCCTGCACATATCAAGAATTCGTCACAATTCGTAAACAGTGAAAACCCGTTTACCAAAAATTTAGTTCATATTCTTTTTTTTGTTTTTTATACAACTTAGAATGGCAAACAAGCTGACGGCCCACCTGATGTAAAATGATAAACGTCGCCTATAGACATGAGCAGTACCATGAATATAACAGAGTATACTATTTCGCCCATGATACCCCCCATGCGTTGCCATTCCTGAGGACTCAGGTGTTATTCCTCTGTACCCAGTAAATTCACGTAAATTATAGCGGCGGCTACTGCCTGAACATCCATCATTCTTACCAACGTAGAATGAAACCACTTCAACACATTAATGACATCATTCTGTTTGTCAAATGTACTCGCCGAAAAAGCTTGGCCAACGTGTACTGACTAGCTATAAAAAAAAAAAAACAAAACGAAAAAAAATATATTGTTCTTGAGTTATCTTTATGGGTTCGTAGGGTTGTCGATACACGAAAATATTATTATTAATGTTATATTAAATCAGCCTTTGTTCTTCACTGAAATCCTATGAAAATCATTGAATTTGTAAGAGTTCTCTGGCCTTCCAGAAACCACCCTTAATAAGCTCTCATTGTATAATTTTATGAAGCTTCCGTTATTGCACTTGAAAGATTATGTCCAATGGGAGAGATAATTCCACAAAAAAAAATTAATCAATCATTAAATGAAAATCATTACAAAATTATAGGGTAAAAACATGGGAGTAAATCCTATCAATCATAAAAAATATTTAAACCAAATCCATTTATAATTAACAGAATATATCTAGTATCACACTAAAATATCGTCTAATTGAAACCCTCTTTTTTAAAGTTGGATAAAAAATATATAATGGCAGATCAATAGAATAACACATACGTTTACAATAGTTGTGAGATAATAGATTTTAACATAATAAAACAGTTATATGACATCATAACAACATAGAATACATATATTAATTCTTATATTATACCAACACTCTGCGTGTTCTACCGCTTATACAATGGATTGTGCTCAGAGGAATTATTCAATATGATGCCTACGGCCACTTTCTATCATCGTACGGCTCGCCATCGACAGGGAGTTCATCCTCATACCTTACAGCCTAAATGGTCGCGTACAACGCGGTTTCAGAGATGCTTTCTCCCACGAACACTCAGGATATGGAATGAGCTCCCTGCCGAGGTTTTCCCAAGAGACTGCAGCATGGGGTTCTTCAAACGGGGGGTAAAGAGGTTTCTTCAAGGTCGCCAACGCGCGCGTAATACCTCGTATTCTTGTTTGCTTGTTTGCCACCTCAGTGGTATAAAATA